GGTCCACCCCAGCATGTCAAAGCTCTAAAAACCAAGAAAAGAGAAGTTTTTTTTTTTTTTTTTTTTCTCCCCCCAAGAAGAACAGAAACAAACTTCAGTGATTTTTTTCCCTCGTGATGCCAGTCTCTTGTCTGTGTAGAAGAAGTTTGAGGGGCGTGAGGGTCCTGTGCGCTCACACCTCTCGTCCACTGGGGCAGTCGAGGGCTTCCCCCCCCCTCCCGCTGCCCCGGTAATCCCCCCAATGCTAAAAGAGTGTTATATCTTGTTTTGAGAGGCATGAGTGTGTAGCGGTGTGGGCCTCCGAAATGTGGGAGGCGGTTTGCAGTGAGGCGTGTGTTTCTTTTGAGGGACTCGATCGGGTTGGGGAGGGTGGTAGAGTTGCAAACTTTTTGTTCACTCGAGGCCTTTGTCACCTGACTGGAGATGGCAAAAATAAAACGATGAAACAAATGGACAAAAACTGCAAACGATGTCTGGTTTTCTGTCTCTAATATACCCGGTAATCTGTCGGAGTGAATGTGTGGCTCACTCCCTGATCACTGAAACACAATGGTGGACTTTAAAGGGCTCAAATCCTAAAGAGAATCACACTCAAACCTGCTCAGGAGGTGTATTTTACAGAGGATGTGTTGAGGTTGAAAGAAAGTATAACTGCTAAAAACAAGAAAACTGATCATGAATTATGTTGTACTGCTTATCTACCCTTTTAAAAGTGCTTATTCTTTAAAAATAATACTGACAGATTGAAATAAAGTGTAATGTTTTACTCAAATATTAGGAGTTCAGTCTAGATTTCCTCTTTGAGAAGTGTCCTGAGATAAGTTGTGAATGGGTGCTAAATAAATAAAATTGAACTATCAACAGTTTAAAGTACATTATCCGAAGCAGAACTTGTTGTTGGTCATTAAAATGCTGATATACTAGAGTTCAAACTCAACAGTGGGTCACAAAGTCTGTTAGCTCTGCAAAGCCTCATGCAATAGCCACACTGACACTCCTCCAAAGACATATAACACATTACAGCACCTATACAAACCCTATATAAAAGTAGAGTTGTTACAGTAATTCAGCTAATTTATATAAATATAGACTGTAAATAAATAAGTTTGTTAGTTGCTTCACAGTTTGACAAAAACAAACAGTAAATGAACATAAATAGGATTGTAAATTGGTGTAATGCTGGTTTTAAGTGTATCTACTGTCGGTAACGTTCAGCTGTGATTTAAGGTGCTAGTTAGAAACCTCCAACATAAAGCTAAAGGCAGTAGATAAAATGGGTTATCTATGAGGTTTCTGCCGTTCAGCCTGTACATGAACAGTTCCAGGCTATGAGCAGTATATATAGTAACTTATCCTCTGTGATAGACTCTCCTGTTGTGTGTTAAAGGCAGCACAGACACACCCTGTGTGTTTGATGGCCGACCCCTCGTGTCTGCACGCTGACTCACAAATGACACCACAATGGAAAGAAAGATGCATGTTGGGTGTTTTTCTTCTTTCCTTTCTGTCTCTACCCCTCTGAGCCAGTCACGGTTTCTCTGACTCATCAGGATGGATTTTAGTTTCTCTCTGTATGTTCATACGAATGCAGCTGAATGAACTGAGGCTGGTCGGAGGCCCAGGGCAGAGCAGGGACTGTGTGTGTGTGTGTGTGTGTCAATGATTGACCCGGCTCAGCAGGTTTATTATCAGGGTGTGTTTTGGCCTTTGTACCTTGAAGCATCCTACACAGACAGCTGCTACAAAACAACAGGCAGGATTTTAATTGAAAGTTTTTCCTGCAAAAACATTAAATTTAAATGTAAAATGAAGCTAAAAGAGACATTTCCCGGTGATTGAGGATGTTGTGTTGAGCCTATAGCCTCCATTCATCTCTCAGTTGGGCGGGCGGAAGTGTTATTTATACTCTGATACTGGGATCACCATATTTGGTAAGGGCGGTCCACGCGGCACGCCCTACGTCACCGCTGCGTCACGTCCGCTCCTCTCTCTTTCCCGTCCCGTCTCTCAACATGGCGCCGGTAAGTCACGGCGGCTCCTCGGGGATTTTACGCGATTTATTGTTAATTCCTTTCTACTTTTTCCACTTATTCGAGTCATTATCTGCTGGAGCTGTAGTAAAGTGTTCATAGTGCCGCCGTGTGCTCAAACATTAGCACTTTATAGGGAAAATAAACCGATAAGATAGCAGAGTTAGCGTTAGCTCGTAGTAGCCGTTCTTACACGTGTTCCATTCATTGGTCCAGTCTCCGTAGGGAAAGAGTGGGTTTTATTTTATATCAGTGGTTTCCCTCCACCTGACAGGTGAACTTGATGTGTACTGACAGTTTACATGCAGTTTAAAGCCCACTAGTCAGTTCGGCCTCACTAACATATTAGTTATCCCAATAGCTCATCGTGTTTTATTAAAATAGAAGCTGATTTATTGAATTTACAACTCTAAAGTTAACACTGCTACTGCTTGGGCTTTAAATTAATTCTCACTTTACTGGTTAATTAAATGCAGGCATTCAAGATTTAAGTATTTATAATAATTTATAAAATGTATGTGATATCAAATAATTTATTAGCCACTTCTCTTTATATAACTGGTGATAAACTGCCTTAATGGTCAGTTTTTACATTTTAAATTTAGGAATGTGTAGTAAATCAAATTTTATACATTTCTGCCAAGACCTTTTTACATCTGTTAATTATATTAGGAATAAATATCCATTTGTGTTCACTAGCTATGTAATAAAATGAAAGTTATACTTAACTTAAGTAATTTGACCTGTAGCACAAAATATATTACTAATACTAAAATTAGCCTTTTATGAAGCGCTATGAGAAGTATACATTAAGTAGTGGCAATAATAAATGAAGAACACTTGATGAGAATTAGTGTATAGTTTTAAAAAAAGTAAGCGGATCAATAAAAGTAAGACTTTCTCCCCCTCACAGATCAAACCGAAGAGGCCAACTGTTGGCAAAAAGTCCAAAAAGGGAGCTGCTTGGAAGTTCACCTTGGACCTGACCCACCCTGTGGAGGATGGGATCCTGGACTCTGCAAACTTTGTAAGTCTCACTGCAAGTTTTACTGTACTAGTGACACTGCTTCCTGACAGACAGACAGACAGACAGCGAACGCACAAGGAGCGTGAAAAGCTGTTCAACTCTTTGAGTGTTGTTGGCGTTTGTTAGGAAAAACCCAGTAGAACATTTCTTTCGCACCTATAATCCTTATTTAATACCTCTTTAAATCAATACTACGATCAAATCAAAGGGTTAATGTAGTGATGTTTACAAGCAGCTAACCCTGTGTCTGGACTAGGGTTCCCTTCCCTAGCTCCAAATGTACTAGGGCTCTCTTCCCTAGTGTCACTGTGCTCTGTCCAACAGGAAACCTTCCTCAAGGAGAGGATAAAGGTCAACGGAAAGACCGGGAATCTGGGTAACATCGTCCAGGTCGGCCGCATGAAGAACAAGATCAACGTCACGTCTGAGAAGCAGTTCTCCAAAAGGTGAGAGATTTATTGTAGCTGCTTATAATGAAACCTCAGTAAACTGTAGTATTGGAAATCAAAACAATTCTTAAGTGTGTGTGGGCAAATTTACCAAGAATAATAAACATTTTATTGAACATTGCACATTCTGGGACTAAACGACCCCCGTGTCTCCCCCGCCAGGTATCTGAAGTACCTCACAAAGAAGTACCTGAAGAAGAACAACCTCCGTGACTGGTTGAGAGTGGTGGCGTCTGATAAGGAGACGTACGAGCTGCGTTACTTCCAGATCAGTCAGGACGACGAGGAGTCGGAAACAGACGAGTGAACGGCTGCAGTGGAACGTCACAGCTGTGTGTCAACAGCTGGAGCTGGACAGCAGAATAAATGTGGAAAAATGGCTTTTCTGTCCTGTTTTTATTGTTTTTAATCTCTAAACCTCTAAATACACAACAGTGTTGAAAGGAAACTCAACTCCCACTGTCATAAACTGTAGATTGAGTTATGTTTTGGTTTACATGTTAATTATCCTCTCTGAGAGAGAGACTTTACCATCCGAGTGTTTAGGAATGTATGTTTATATTTGAATAACCTCTAAGACTTCACACACTCACAGAAAAGAGTTGGAAGCAAAATCTGCTGTGACATCTTACTTAATTTTGACTCCACACATATCAGTTGATTTTCTTTAAAAATAAAAACAAATCATGTAACTTTAACATTAATTTGACGTGTTAAATATCACATTTACTCTGGATCAAAGCACACTGAAGATCTGTCATTACTCACTATGGAGTACTTGTCCCATAAATACTTTATAAAATGACTCTTTGGTGGCTGCAATGGAAACACTGGACACAGAAACAGATTATCATTGTTCTTTTTTGACCAATGTAATCCAGAATATATTAATAATAAAGGTCAGAAATTCCTTTTTGTTCTAACTCATTAACTGTGATTTATCTAGCTGAACCTTATAAACAGGTGTGTGTTTGTACACCTGAGGATGGGAGTGAAGCAGTACACTAAATACACACTAGGTGGTGCTACAGATAAAGTCACCACCTTATACATACTGTTAATGATCAACACACAGTCAGACCGAACTGCTGCAGCTTAATATGACAACAATAAAACGTTCAATTATATTTAATCACTGTCTCCAAAGAGGAGTTTGACTTCTAAATAAACCATAATAAAGATATTTGTTAAATGTGTCACATAAATACAGTTTACATCCTTATTATATATAACTTTATACAACCCAATAGGCATCAGTTATAACATCACCACCCACTGAGGTGTTTACTACTCTGTGACGGGTAATAAATAATCTGCAGCTTCACCACTAGGTGCCACTAAATCCTTCACACTGATCCTTAAAAATGTCTTACTCTGGGGTTTTTCTACAAGCAAACATTCATATTTCACAAAAGTTTTCTGGGAAATTAAAGAGTAGAAACGGCACAAAAATGAGCAGCGAGCAAAAAAACTGACAAAATGATGTGAACAATGTAAATATAATAAATACTGATTTTATTAAAGGTATAACACAAGAGGTAGAGGTAGGTATAATAATAACACTCCCACATTAAAATGCATATAACTCTAGCTCTATGATCTATATGCTGTTGAGTTATGTTCCTACATTATCCCAAATGTTCCCAACAATGTTTAATGAAGACAACAACTCCCATGATCCTACACTACTCCACGACATCATCAAACTTTGTTCTCATAGGTTTGATGTTTTTCTACCTTTTTTTTTTTTTTACTCCCTGCTGAGACATTGCAGAGAGCTAAGGCTGATGGGAGACGAACATGTCCAGGAGCTCTGTGGGGAGGGCGAAGACCACGATGGACGCGCTGCTCTGGACGGAGGACAACGACTGCAGGTATCTGAGGTGGAACGCCACGGGGGGAAGTCCTGACGCCGCCGCCATCAAAGCACGAGACGCCTTCACTTCCCCTTCGGCCAAAATCATCTCACAAACACAAAGAGAGAGAGAGAGAGAGAGAGAGAGAGGATAAAGTCACCAGAGAGAAGACCTGATGTTCAAATCTGTAGTCTGTGTGTGTGTGTGTGTGTGTGTGTGTACCTTGGCCCTGGCCTTCCTGGCAGCCTCGGCCTCTGAAGCCATGCAGCGCTGCAGATTGACGGGGAGGGTCAGGTCTTTAAGCTCCACCCGCTCCACCTGAACGCCCCACAGTCTGGAGGCAGCGTACAGAACCTCCTGCGGGACCAAACACCTGTAAGTTCTGTAAGTGGTGTTAAATGCTTCTCTTAAATGTGCATCAACCGGTGACACAGGCGTATAAAGGGCAGCTCTTCACTCACTTCCATTCTCTTTGTGATGCCCGTCGTCAGCGTCAGTACGTCTGTCAGAGTGTGCACACCCAGCGTGGCCCTCATTTATAGTTGCAGCTGTTATTCACACATATATGAATAAAGAGCAGTAGATACTGTGTGTATATATATTTAACTATTGTTCTAGGCAGACGCAGTTCCTCACACCTTGACATCAGCCTCTCTACAATAACAAATGTAAACAATTAGAAACTAGAGACGCAAAAACATAAACAGAGGAAGACCCTAAAGGCAGCACTCTATTATTATATATTATTATTATACATTGTTGAGTCTTTAAAAGGCTCAAACCTGCAGATATTTGAAAAACTGTTTGTTTTATACACGACTTAATTAATTAACTAAATAATCAAGTTTAAGCTTTACTGATGGAAATATGATTCCTTATTCCAATATATCAGTTTTTATTTATTTTAATGTCACATCTTACAGCTGAGTGTGTGTGTGTGTGTGTGTGTGTGTGTGTGTGTGTGTGTGTGTGTGTGTGTGTGTGTGTGCTCTGTCTGTGTGTCTGTGTGTGTGTGTGTCTGTCTGTGTGTGTGTGTGTGTGTGTGTGTGTGTGTGTGTGTGTGTGTGTGTGTGTGTGTGTGTGTGTGTGTGTGTGTGTGTGTGTGTGTGTGTGTGTGTGTGTGTGTGTGTGTGTGTGTGTGTGTGTGTGTGTGTGTGTCTGTGTGTGTCTGTGTGTGTGTGTGTGTGTGTGTGTGTGTGTGTGTGTGTGTGTGTGTGTCTGTGTGTGTGTGTGTGTCTGTGTGTGTGTGTGTGTGTGTGTGTGTGTGTGTGTGTCTGTGTGTGTGTGTGTGTGTGTGTGTGTGTGTGTGTCTGTCTGTCTGTCTGTGTGTGTGTGTGTGTGTCTGTCTGTGTGTGTATGTGTGTGTGTGTGTGTGTATGTGTCTCTGTCTGTCTGTGTCTGTGTGTGTCTGTGTGTGTGTGTCTGTGTGTGTGTGTCTGTGTGTGTGTGTGTGTGTGTGTGTGTGTATCACCTTCACACACATCCATCCTGTGAGGGGGAAGGTGAAGATGATGAAGACCACGGACAGCAGGGTCAGCACCGCCCCGAAGACCTCCGACACCCCGCTGCTCCTCCTCCTCCTCCTCCTCCTTCCTCCTCCATCTACACAGCCAACAGTACAGCGGGAGGAACAATGAAACAGACTGAAGTCAGAGAGGCTGTTGATGAAGATAAACCTTTAAATGTCGTTAGCTCACCTTTAGCTTCGTTTTCAGCCACAAATTCAACTCCCACTCTGTTACTACCGGACATTACCGTCCGTTAAACAGCTGAATGAATTACCAGTTAATGTAATAAATGTATAAATGTTATAAAGTCCAGTTTACAGCACTGGGGAGGATTTATTTCTACTTTCAGGCCATTAAGTAACTACTCGGATTAGCTAGCTAGCCGTTAAAGCTAGCTGTTGGGATGTTTGGTCCGCCCCGTAAGTTCCGCGTCACGTTGCCTGGCAACAAGAACACGCCCCCCCCCCACCCGGCTTAAAATAAATAAAATAAAAGCACAAATTAACAACGTTTAAAAGTCTATTTATATGTATTTGATAGTGGAAAGCTGCTGATTAAAAATAATAATAACAATTATAATTAATTTATATTCAATTAAAAAAAAATAAAAACATATTTTTGACTGTTTATCTTAAGTGTTTTATTCAATATTAAGTATTTTCAATATTAATAGCTGCATCCACAGCTTCTTGGTAGCCATGCTGGTCTGTATTCTAACTGTAACTTGAGTGTGTTGGTTTGGACAATAATGTGCATATTCAACATAACAATATGTTAAATATCATTTAAAAGCATTTGGTTTTTGGACTTTAGTATTCACGTCTCATGTTCCCTTCAGATGGCAGCAGTAGCAGAACATATGAACATATGATAGACGTCAGAAGGCTGTTGACTTATAGTGGCTCATTTTGGCCACAGCACGTATAATTTAGATTGTATAAGATAGAAAGTGAACTTTTTTAATGTGAGGTGGTGATATTCACCATCAAGTGTCAGGAAATAATAATTTTTTAAGAGAATTTGTCAAGCAGATAGTCAAATTTTAGTTTTTTGAGGACGTTGTAGGTAATATTTTTAGAAAGGTATCAGAAGACATCTGATTGGTTGAGTGGTTTTCAAACAGAGGTCCTTCAGTGGGTAGTAGAAGAAGTTGGAACAACATGAAAATAAGTTTTTATTGATTATAAGATCCCAGTTTGATCACTGATTGTAGTTTAAAGTAGCTCCACCTATCAGCTGCAACCTTAAAGAGATAAACACGTTAATAATTATAATCCTGTGAAACTTTATACATTATTATTATTCCGAAAGCTGATCAAGTCTTTTACTTCTGACTACACTGCCGGGGTTTAATCAATATCTGGAGATCAATCTGCTGATTTGAGGTTTGTTTTCTGCAGTTTAACTTGTGTGTTTGTGTGTGTGTGTGTGTGTGTGTGTGTGTGTGTGTGTGTGTGTGTGTGTGTCTGTGTGTGTGTGTGTGTGTGTGTGTGTGTGTGTGTGTGTGTGTGTGTCTGTGTGTCTGTGTGTGTGTGTGTGTGTGTGTCTGTGTGTGTGTGTGTGTGTGTGTGTGTGTGTGTGTGTGTGTGTGTGTGTGTGTGTGTCTGTGTGTCTGTGTGTGTGTGTGTGTGTGTGTGTGTGTGTGTGTGTGTGTCTGTGTGTGTGTGTGTGTCCATTACGACCTCCTGAATTATTCCATAGTGCTCTTTGAATTCTGTTTTTAAAAGATGGTGCTCTACAAATAAACTTATCACTGTGGTGTCAATTTCCTTCATAAAATATTTTGTATCTCTCTCTCTCTCTCTCTCTCTCTCTCTCTCTCTCTCTCTCTCTCTCTCTCTCTCTCTCTCTCTCACACACACACACACACACACACACACACACTTCCTGTGAAACTGTCAGGCCAACTCAGTGGTTTTTCTCTCTGTTCTTTCACTCAGCTGAACACCTCCATGCGTCGAGCACTGACCTGTCTTCGCTTCCTTCCTCTTCTTCCCTCTCTGCTGCGGACTCGAGGGAACAGAATCCACCATCAGAACCACCACACCTGGACATCTATGGCTCTTCTATCAAACCTCAAGGGACCGCAGAGCCGCTGTTCCTAGACATGCAGCTGTGCTGAGAAAGCAAGAGGGTGGGTGAGCCGGGGTTTTTGGTGTGGTGGATGTTACAGTTTTCTCCTCGCCATGGCAGCAGCTATGCCGGTGTGCTACCACGGTGCCATCAGCAAGAAGGAGTGTGAGGAGCTTCTGGGAAAGAAGAACAAGGATGGAGCCTACCTGATCCGAGACAGCGAGACCATCCAGGGAGCCATGTGTCTGTGTGTTTAGTGAGTACACTGTTGTGGCTGTACCTGTTTCTTTCCTGTTATGGAAATGTTGGTATTAGTTTTAATATATAAACAGACTCTCGTGTGTATTTTCAGGTTATACTTGAGTTTTATTTTCAGTTTACTTTGATTTAAAATCAATAACTTAATTTCAAGAGAGGATTTCAGAAGACACTAACTTGTTTTTGGGTGAATTCTGAAACAGAGATGTTAAATCAGAGAGTTTATTTATATTAAACTAGTTAATGAACAATATATCCATGAACAAGAACCTTTATCTTGTGTTTTGTAAATCAAATAATTTCACAAGATCTTTGTTTGTAACTATGTGTTTGTGACATTTTACCCCAAATAATTCACTCAACAACAGACATTTGTTAAATATTGCATGAACAAGCAGAGTCTTGCCATACTTTATAACAATAATAGATTTCCTTTGGTCAAAGTTGGTTTAAAGACCTGTATGTTTGCACCACAGACTTGTTGTGGTCGGTTGCTGCCTCGGCCTCAAATACAAAGCGACTCTCGTGCAGCAATAATTAAACATAAAGAAAATGCTTCTCTAATGATAGAGAAATGCCTTCAGGTGTGACAGCGGACGGAGGATTGATCAGCAGTGTAAAAGTCGTTACTCATGTTACTTAAGTTCCTCAATTATCTACTCAATGGAAAATAATAAAATGTGCACTTTCATGCACTTTTGCGCAACTTGTTTTTGCTTTCGATGAGGAGGATACAGCTTCCTCAAACTCAGTATTTAAAGTCGGGTTCAGAGATGGAGACTGGTTCTATACAATATGCAGCCGCCGCCGCCGCCAAGTGCTTGCTCATGGCGGGAACTGTTGGGTCTCTGTGAATAATGTTATAAGGAGTTCGGTGTAGACCTGCTCTATTTGAAAAGTGTGTTTTAAACTTTTATTATGAATTGGCGCTATACAAATAAAACTGAATTGAATATCCAATGATCCTCTAGTGGAGCGGCTCTTCGGCCTGCTCAGTCTTGTGCCGACTCCGAGGAGGAACCGGCCGTCACTCCTGGAAATTGAGTACCGGTTCCAGTTAAACACCGGTTCCGAATTGTCCGATCCATCTGAATCGTGTGCCACCGAGCTCATCTGTGTTTTTTTCCTTGCAGATGTCTGCAAATACAGTGATGTCAAACTTATATGTCTACGCTGCTGGAAACTTTCAGAGGAAGAAACAAACTACTACAACTGTAGTCTGGTTCTACGATGTGTTCAGATTCAGAGAGAACAGTTGAGAATGCGTGGGTTTATTTCTTTCCACTCAGACAATGTATCAGATATTATTAAAGGGAATCAACAAAGAATCAGACCGATGAGCAGAATCAATAATTGTGTTAGTATCAATAAAATCTTATCTATTCCCAGCTCTAGGTATAACCACGGCTTTAGTGATAAAGACGTTCAATAAAGCCATAGTGACTCCAGCGTTTGGCTCATTAAATGCTTCGTAATACTCGATCTCAGGCGATTTCACGACGGTAACAAACTACTTCTTACAGGGAGTAACTAATAAAGTAACGAGGAATGTTTGAGCAGATGTTTTATCATCATTCTTTATACCATCGATGGTTAAAAGTCTGTATGTTGGTTCTCTTTGCAGTAAACACAAGGTGGTGTATACCTACAGACTGCTGCAGACACACGCTGGACACTTTACTCTCCTGGTAAGACGGACGCACATTGCATGTTAAATTCATTTATTTAACTGACTGCTCAGTTGTATGTTCTGTAAGTTTAATCTCCGCCTAAATGCTGTTTTGAAGCCCTCCTTCTACTCTGTTAGTGTCCAAACAAACACTGAGAGCTTTGTAGAGCTGAATATTGAACCCCAATACAAAATGTGTCTGCAGCAAGTATTAAAAGTTAGTTAGTCAAATGTTTCGGTCAGATTCTTTTGGGTTCTTTATGATTGAAATCAGGAAACATTTCCAACTTTAGACTTTGGCCTGATAAAGAAACAATACTGAGGACGTGACCACAGTATTGTTTCTGAACAGAAGGTTTTCTTACAGGAATACCACAATTGAAGCAAGAAAACCAAAACCAAACTAACAGCTAACAGCCTTCTGCTGCTGAACGAGTTCGACCGAGACCAAAGTCTGTCGATGCCAGACGAGGTAGAGTCGTAGAGATACCAGCGACCACAAAACAGTGTTGGTCCTTTCTGGGCTTCTGTAGACACACGTGAGTTCAACATGGCGGGCTTATCTTACATTCAGGAGATTTTACGCGAATGAAAACACAGCTATGAATGTTATATTCAGCTGTTACACACTGGAGCTTCAGTTATAAACAGGAATAAAACAACACAATAAAGTAAAATATGGTAAAAAAAATGAGTGAGAAGTTCCTCATAATCCAACATATTTACTGTTTTCAGAGCAACTCTTAAATGTTTGTCAGTTCTTTAAGAGTTCAGCCTGAATAAATCTGGAAACCACAGATTTTCCCACTTCATATATTTAATCTATTAGACAGATGTTTACGTCCTTAAAGGAACATTACAAATGGAAACTCAGTAGGTCAGGCTCACCCCCACGTTGCACAGGAAACTCCTCTGACGTCAGTTTAACACAAATACTCCACTTTGTGCCACGCTGATGGGCTGATAGAGGATACTGTTTGATACTGTTTTTTTTTTTTCCAGTCAAAGCAAGCATCTCTTAAATCTATACAAATGTTAAATGTAAACAGAGTTTTTGCCTCCAGATCTCTGAATGACTACAGAGATTTTATTTGGTGATGAAGTGTCAACTCTGACTGGTGATCAGGCCTCCACAGCTTTAGATTTTTTATGTTAAAATGTACTTTTAAATTAGGTTTTAGTATTAAATGTGACTTTTTGGGGCTTTTTCTATCTAAATATTTGTGTTCATGAGTTATAAGTCAACAAAATAGATGTTATAAATTTGAATAGTAAAGATACATGTTGTTATCAAAGGAAGCTGACGCAGATTGAAGCTTTATATTAGAGGGAAATTCCCTAAAACCATTAAAATATGGCTTTACCTCACTTATTATCCGGGTTAATGCTGATAAATAACCTTTCTAACTAATCTAGGTCATTCTGTGTGGACAGCAACTAACAGTTATAACCACATTACAAATTACATGTCACAATATGGCGACATGTCAGGATTCGGGCACCAACATTTTCGCTGACTTTTACAGTTTTTGTTCCCACTTGGGAGCTAATTTCTCAGATTATTCCGACACACTGTGAATGCACCATTAGAGCTGAAATGATAAATCAAAGCTGTTTTAAATGATTTTAAACTAAATCTCTGTTGTTGTACCTTTTAGGCCGCAGGAGGTTTGCAGGAGACGAGTTTTAAGACTTTGGAAGATCTGATCCGTCACTATAAAAGGAGGAACCAAGGCCTCGCCATACACCTGCGCCACTCCGTCAAAAGGAAGACGGCCTTGTTGATCCAGGCCCAAAGACAACCCCAACCTGAAGCGGTGCCGCAGAGGGAGCCGGCGCCACAGAGGGAGCAACCGCCTGCAGCTGAAGAAGACCACGACTATGAGAGTAAGTCACATGTTTAATCTCTTCACGGCGTCTCCTTTTGATTTGTGGTTTTATTTTTGACCTTTTTTTCTCCATTTTCCTCCAGATGCTCCGGATCTATCTGAGTACGTCGAAGTCCTTCCTTCCTGAACAACTCTGACTTTCTGCATCAAACACATGAGGATAAGACGTTTGGGGGTGGGGGGGTTGAACTACGGGCACCTAAACAAGGATGACAGGTTCTCAGACTGACTCAGATTCAGAATAATGAATAAGAAACTTGGACAAATGGACAGACGCTGAAGAAGGAACTCTTCGTCTGCTTGTGCTCCTGTAATTATAATACATTAAGGCCTCACCTGGTAGAGCTGGAGCCCCATGAACCGAGGCTGCGGCAGCCGAGGGTTCGAATCCCCTCTCTTGACCCCTTTCCTGTCCATTAAAGGGAAGTCAAGTTATGTTAACTATATATTTTTTTTACTTGTTCTTTGGTGCCTGTGTCCACTTTCGGAGCCTATCTATGTTCCTCAGCTCAATATGACACCTGGAAGAGACCTTTCGAAGGGTTTTATGTTCTCAGCAATGTTCTTTAGACACTGATTTGAACATCGGGAACATAGTTATGATCCCGTCCACGACTGCCGTCCAGACTGAAGTATCTTTAGACATTTAAGGTCCCCAGTGGATGAACTGTAATCACTTTGTTGATCTCTTGTACTTTTTAAGATAGCTCCATTATTTGTTCTAATGTTTATTTTGTGACTACAAACTTTGTGTTTAGTGATATTTAACATGCTAACACGCTAAACAAAGAGGGTAAACATGCCTAACCTGCATTAGCATCAGCAAGTTGTCCTAAACTGTGGGGATGTTAGAAGGCTAACGTTAGCATTTAGCTGTAGAATCTTAGTCTTGTTCTATTTTATTCTATTATTCTATTATATATATATATTATTCATTAGTTTTTCTTGTCTTTCTGCAGCTGTCTTTGCAGTTATGCGCGTGCACTGTGTCGGTATGTTATTTCTGTTCAGCTGAGCATTGGTATGACATGTTTTTGACACCTACAGTGAGACACTGACTTACAGTTAGGTGTGATGAGAAAAAAAAGCCTCAAATTTGATTTTAAATGCTAAATATAGATAATTTGCATGTTTAAAATCTTAAGATCTATTAAAGGAAGTCATTGATGCAGATCTACTCATATCACAAAAGACATACCGGTAGTCATCCAGGCGATGGAAAGTTTCCGTGTTTAAGTATTAGGTGACTTACAACTTCTAACTTTAACACAGTCAGAGGTCATTTTGTGTTTTTTCAAGATGAATGTAGAAACATAGACTGTCGAGAAGTGGCACAAAGTATATTTCTCATGTTTTTCTTGGTATATATGTTTTTATTTTCATTCTCAACAAATTCTCAGAAAAGACAAAACCTACAGTGTCTCTCAAGACTTTCTGACTTCCTCTATCTGTGTGTCGCAGCCCAAAGCTCACTGGTTCCCACTGAAGAGGTGAATCTTTTTTTTAAAAAGGTTTCTTAATTTCATCACTGTACTTTTCTCATAAAGCAAACATACAAAAACAAAAAAACAGTGCATTTATTAGAGGCTATTTTCTGATTAATCTACTTTTGGTTCTCTAGTGGGGCAGCAGGATGGTGTATGTGTCACTGAATAAAGAAAAAAAGGTGGTAACGTGACTCAGTGCAACAGTGTGGCTCTGTGGCCCAGAGGAAGAAGATATATCAGGCTTTAATACACACATAATATTAGTTTGGACTTTAGAGAACCTTAAGTGTGTGGTAGGAGTGGGTTTCGTTGCTCCTCTCCTGCTCAGAAATGCTCCGACCACCAGAGAGAGCGAGGGAGAGAGAGAGAGCGCTGTCACAACCTCTGGTGATTCAAAAGCATGTGCTCAAGAAAGTGATGCACTCAAAGAAACCAACGACACGCAGGACCTGTGGTGAACCGCCGGTGTGTGAATAAGTTGTTTGTCCGACTCTATTGAGTAACAATAAGTGTTAAATGTTGTTTACGGCCAGTGAGAAGCTGCAGTTTCTAAATACACACTATTCTTACTTCACAGAGATTAACATCTGTGTTGATTCTTTTAATAAATTAGGATTTAACCATATATTTGACAGCATTTGTTCACAGGCCACTTGAGAAACGACGAATATTACCCACAATGCATTGCTTTTACACTATTGTACTGTTTTAATGGGAAACGTGATGTTGCTCTCATAATTTAACAGCATTTTGTTCCAGTGAATTTAAGACATACTCTGTCTGCTATATTAATATATATTTTAACTGGGCCAATTTATTAATATCTTTTAAGGAAGTTTCATGGTAACTTTAACTTGACATAGTGAAACCATAAGCATATAATTTGGACTATATTTAGGGTTGTGTAACATTTCAAACATGCAGTATTAACTGCAATTTCCCAGCTTGGGATCAATAAAGTATATCTATCTATCTAACATGAGACATATTTTGGGTGTGTGGCAGAGATTAAAGTGCTAAATATACAGTTAAATGATAAAATGAACTGTAATATATAATATAATATAATAGTAATGAGTCTGTTTTTTTTAACCTATTGTCCGAAATCTGTCATCTGTAAGTTTTTATTGACATTCTCTGTCCTTTGTTGAACCTTTTTGCGTTATCATTTACTGAAAGTAGAGCAGTAAATGATAACGCAACGAGGTTTGATTAAAACAGAAGACAAAAACAGAAACCAAAACTTTGGTGTGAACTCACACTGTGTTCACTTCTGTGAAACCAGAGAAGTGAATGATATATCTTATTTCTTCTGAGCAATTGACATAAATAATGCTTCTTGTATCACAGTGACTTGTTGTCTGGCTGCTGTTGCTTACCACTCGTCAGACGTTCCATGTATTTGTATTACTGAAGACCTTAAGGATGCAGGAAATAGTTGATATTAATGCAACTTTTTTTGTTTTTAAGGAGACATTAAAGTCTTTCCTCACTTTCTATAAATATGAGTATGAAATGTTTCCGCTGTGATAATGTGTGATTAAAATGACCACTCTTCCAGACATAAGAAACTGGATTTTCTATCATTTCTTGCTTTGTATTATGATGTTAAGTTTGTATATGCTGATGTATGTGTTACCCAGTCAGACCACTTCTATGTGTCATTTTCTGTATGGACAAAAACATCATCACACATCCTGTGTCTGTTCTCACACCCTTCCATCTCAAGCAGCGCCAGGGTCGCTGTATTTTACCTTTTTAAGTGTTTGTTAATTAATTTTAAACAGGGCAGGGCATCATTTCTGGACACTGATTTAGTTTTTTTGAGAGATTTATGAGATGTTGCATGTTTAAAGTGAATGCATGTGCCTTATGTTTTACATTGATGAGCAATTTCTGATCAAACAAGTGCAGAGGAAGACAACAAAAATACATGAAAAAAAGCAGAACAAGTCAGCTGTGGGTTTGAGACTATATGCTTGGTCAAACCACAGTTTCCACACACAGACACAGAGGCAGCGTCTGCACCAACACACACACACACACACACACACACACACACACACACACACACACACACACACACACACACACACACACACACACACATATATAAACATACACTAACCATTAAAGCTGGCAGCATATCTGCAAAGAATACCAAGTTTAATTGTGTCAGAATCAGGTTTAAGTTGGTTTTCACATACAAGGAATTTGCCTTGGTGAGTTGGTGCATAGGAATTAAATATAGAAAAATACAAACAAAGATAGAAACAGAGACAATATATACAGATATAAAAAGACAGACAATATGCACAATATGGTCAGATATTTAAATGTGTGAAGAGCTGTACAAGAATGTGCAAACATATGACGACATATCACATATGATGATATTTGCAATGTGCAAAAGATAAAATCAGAGGAGTTGTCTTGTATTTTCATCATGTATGTTGCCCTTTTTGTCACACTCTGCATCTTGGTCACATTTAAGGAATCCTTATTTATATACTTTCAAATATTTATATTAGTATTGAAATTTGATTTTTTTAAAATGATTTAATCACGTTGAATTAAAATATAAATTAAACTCATAATACAAAAAAAGGAAACAACCTTTATTTTATTTTACTTTGTTTAATTAAATATTATATTAATTATGTTAATGTATATTATATTAAATTAAATTAAATTAAATTATATTGATTTATATTATATTATAATATAATATATTAAATTGTATTGATTTATATTATATTATATTATAATATATTAAATATATTGATTTATATTATATTATATTATATTATATTAATTTATATTATATTATATTATATTATATTGATTTATATTATATTATATTATATTATATTAAATTAAATTATATTAATTTATATTAATTTATATTATATTATATTATATTATATTGATTTATATTATATTATAATATATTATATTATAATATATTATATTATATTAGATTATATTATATTGATTTATATTATATTATATTATATTATATTATATTATATTATATTATATTATATTGATTTATATTATATTATATTATATTATATTGATTTATATTATATTATATTATATTATATCACCATGGGAACAGCAACGGCTGGTTCTCGCTCCGCCCTCCCCGGTTACGTCTATTCCTGCGTGAACTCGCTTAAGCCATGTAAAAGGGGGGAGTGTAATTATAGTTTGCTGAATAAAAAAGAAAAATACATTACACTGTTCTATCTTGTTTTGATTTAAAGCGATAATAACTACAGTTATATAATCTAGTCGTTTATATTGTACATAAATCAAAGTAAGCCTTATCGATGTAGATTTAACACGGCGTGTCTCCCCTTTCTCGAACATGGTACGTCCCGGTCCCATTCGAAGCTCGGAGCGGGAGGAAGTAGCTGCTGTTGTTTGTGGACGAAGGGAAACCGCCACAGGTAGTTTACAACAAACAAAGCCCCAACAGAGTGTTATATAATCGTTTAAAGTGAACGAGCAGCGGTTTAAAATGTTACGTTATGTTTAAATGAAGTTGTTTAATTTGCTGCTGTCATGAAACTAAAGGCTGACAGGCTTGTTAGCTACTGCTAGCAACACAAAGCTACAAAGATGGACGTTGTTTACGTTGTTTACGTTGTTTACGCTTTGTTGTGTGTTTATAACCTGAAAGAGTTTTTGTTCTACAGGATGGATATGACCACGTGTTTGAAGGCTCTGTTGCTGGCTGTGCAGCAGTACAGGGACGGGAGGACAGCGCAGCACGTAGCGCAGCTCCAGAGACAAGTGGAGGTGGGTGAGGGTCTGTGGGAGTCAGAGTCTGTGGGAGTCAGAGTCTGTGGGAGTCAGAGTCTGTGGGAGTCAGAGTCTGTGGGAGTCAGAGTCTGTGGGAGTCAGAGTCTGTGGGAGTCAGGGTCTGTGGGAGTCAGGGTCTGTGGGAGTCAGGGTCTGTGGGAGTCAGAGTCTGTGGGTGAGGGTCTGTGGGAGTCAGAGTCTGTGGGAGTCAGAGTCTGTGGGAGTCAGAGTCTGTGGGAGTCAGGGTCTGTGGGAGTCAGGGTCTGTGGGAGTCAGGGTCTGTGGGAGTCAGGGTCTCTGGGAGTCAGAGTCTGTGGGAGTCAGAGTCTCTGGGAGTCAGAGTCTCTGGGAGTCAGGGTCTGTGGGAGTCAGGGGTCTGTGGGAGTCAGAGTCTGTGTGAGTCAGAGTCTGTGGGAGTCAGAGTCTGTGGGTGAGGGTCTGTGGGAGTCAGAGTCTGTGGGAGTCAGAGTCTGTGGGAGTCAGGGTCTGTGGGAGTCAGAGTCTCTGGGAGTCAGAGTCTCTGGGAGTCAGAGTCTCTGGGAGTCAGGGTCTGTGGGAGTCAGAGTCTGTGGGAGTCAGGGTCTGTGGGAGTCAGAGTCTGTGGGAGTCAGGGTCTCTGGGAGTCAGGGTCTGTGGGAGTCAGGGTCTGTGGGAGTCAGAGTCTGTGGGAGTCAGGGTCTGTGGGAGTCAGAGTCTGTGTGAGTCAGAGTCTGTGGGAGTCAGAGTCTGTGGGTGAGGGTCTGTGGGAGTCAGAGTCTGTGGGAGTCAGAGTCTGTGGGAGTCAGGGTCTGTGGGAGTCAGAGTCTCTGGGAGTCAGAGTCTCTGGGAGTCAGAGTCTGTGGGAGTCAGGGTCTGTGGGAGTCAGAGTCTCTGGGAGTCAGAGTCTCTGGGAGTCAGAGTCTGTGGGAGTCAGGGTCTGTGGGAGTCAGAGTCTGTGGGAGTCAGAGTCTGTGGGAGTCAGGGTCTGTGGGAGTCAGAGTCTGTGGGAGTCTGGGTCTGTGGGAGTCAGAGTCTGTGGGAGTCTGGGTCTGTGGGAGTCTGGGTCTGTGGGAGTCAGGGTCTGTGGGAGTCAGAGTCTCTGGGAGTCAGGGTCTGTCGGAGTCAGGGTCTCTGGGAGTCAGGGTCTCTGGGAGTCTGGGTCTCTGGGGTCATCAGGGTGGATTAATGGATGGTTGGAATAAACCAAAGAAGGTCTTGTTGTGTTAAAGGGACATTTTAACGATACACGTACAGAAATACAAAGAAAGCTTTCTTTCCCGCTGATTTCAAGGTGAATACATACAGTCACCTCTGACCCAGACGAGGACTATATCTTCATCCTGTGACAGCACGAAGGAGTTTGTAATGAAACAAGACAAATAAATACCACAATATATATCTCACATGTATAAATAAATACAATATAAACACTGACAACCAATCATTGTATATATTAACTGTATAACTTTCTGCATAAGCCCCTTAATTGGTTTCTTAATTGACTTTGCGAGCCCCACAGTATGAGCTGTCTCTGAGCACAGGACAGTATGAATGAAACCAAAATTAAAATATTAGTGGGGGTATATTGTGTCTTTAAGTTGAAAGTTGTTTGTAATGTACACACCTACACCTGTATTTACCTATATGTGTGTCCTGTGTGTGTTTTCAGGAGGTTTCAGGTCTGAAATGTGACCAGCTGTTGTCCTCGGGCCAGATTCTGCCCAGTGAGTGTGTGAGTGGGCTGGTGGAGCTGGCTGGAAACCCAAACACTAACCCAACCCTGACGAGCTCCATCATCTCCCTGCTGGCACAGCTAGGTAGAGCACACCTGTACACACACACACACACACATATATAACCTGAAGGCCCTGAAACAAAAACCCTTTCCCTGTGTGCTCTCTCTCTCTCTCTCTCTCTCTCCGTTCAGCCTGCGACGATAACAGTCGAGAGATTCTTCACGGCAGCTTCAATGTGACCAGCACCCTGGCCTCCATCATCCACTGTCACAACGCCACACCAGGTGAACCCCTGGTGCTGCAGGTGAGTCTCGTCACGTCTCCTCTGTGTACAGTAGGTTTTCAATATGCATTTAAAGCACTAATGCAACATTTGAGTAACGGATGATGTTCTCAACCCCTGATTCTTGATAGGTGTCCATTTAATTTTGTTCTTTTTAATGTGTATTTCTTCTCTGTTGTATCTGGAGCTGCTATATGAAGTGAATTTCCTAAGTCTATCTTATCTTACCTCTAAAAATGTTGTAATATGCAGTGTTTTACTAACTTATAAACAGAGCTTCTTTCTTATATAGTTTATGTTTGTGTTCTGTATAGAGGCAGAGCAGATGGTGGCTTGTACATATATTAAATTAATTTAAGCCTAAAAGAAAATAAATGGTGGAAATAAAATCTATGCATGGTAAATCTTCACTGATAGATTTATTGTTGTGATGCTGTCTCGTTATGTGTCTCTCAGTGTTTGCAGGTGCTACAGAAACTGACTTACAACACTCGCGTCTTCCAGTCTACAAACTACATCCATGAGCTCATCACTTTTCTGGTAACCAACATGTAAGAACCACATTTCCCTTCGACCATTATACAACCCGACGTAACTAAAGGCGTCACTGCGTATTTTCAGACATTCAACTAACCGTATTACCTCGTGTTTTGGCACCGCAGCCAGTCTCACAATGACGACATCATCATGCCATGCCTCGGTCTCATGGCCAATCTGTGTCGTGACAACCACTCGGTGCAGAGCCACATCAAGTCTCTGGTAAGTGAGCTGAATGTCGTAAATCACATCTAATTTTAACAGCATCACAGCTTCACAGATTGTATCTGCCAGAGTGTCGAACTGAAACAACCACTCGTCTTATTAGTCCACAGACGGAAAATAATCAAATAAAGAAAATAACTTTTCTGAATTTCTGGGTTTTGGATTGTTGATCAGACAAAAGATATTTGAAGAGTTGCAAAATTTTATTGACAAATCAAGAAATAAAAGCAATATTAAGATGTTTATCAAAGCATTTTAAATCTGAACAGTGTTTGAGAAATCAATATTCTGCTACTTTACCAGTATTTATTTCTTTCTTGGCCTTTAATATGTTAACTACCTTAAGTTCACAGAAATGAACGTACAAATTATAATACGTAAATGTATTAATAAAACAAAAACAAGCAAAAACACTGAAAAAGGTGAAATATTTGTAATAAGTTGTTTTTTTTGTTCAACCACAAAGCATCTAAATCATAAAATAATCCACTAAAAAGTTAAGTTTTTATATATGTATATTTTAATCTTTCCTTACTGCTTACTGACATTTTTCCTTCACATCTGTTTTGTTGAGCAGTAACTCAACATGGCGTCCTCACAACATAAAGAAGATCCCCTTTGTTCTCGTGTGTAATATGTGTGTGTGGATTCTTGTAGGACAACGTGAAGCCGTTCTACCGCACTCTGATCAACTTCCTGGCTCACAACAGTCTGACCGTGGTGGTCTTCACGTTGTCCATACTGGCCAGCCTCACTCTGAATGAGAAGGTCGGAGAGAAGGTAGGTGGCAAACACTCTCTACCGGGATCTACTGGCATTTAGTACGCCTGTAAACTATTGTTATATTTAATTTATCGTTTATAAAATATATAACTGCTCTGCCGGGGTTTCACACACAAATACACACCTATAAAAAAAAACACGTTTAACACGTCCTTTTTTAGTTTGTGTTTGATTTCTTAACGATTACAGTTTTTTTTAACTGCACAAACGATGAGTTGTTCCTTCTTTTCGTTAGTTCCCCTTTTCACCTTACTTTTTATGTTCAGCAATGCGTCATCAGTCTGTAGTTCAAGTCAAGTTGAAGATTTGCATGAGATGGGTTTTTTTTTTTGGTTGCGCTGGGGTTGCGTCAGCTCTCCACCGCTGTCCGTCTCTCCTCCAAGCAGGAGCCCACTCTGGTGGTGAAACTCTGCTCTCACACACACTTTATATAACTGATACCGCTCAGTTAACAGGCTAATACACACTAATAGACATGCAGCAGAACAAGAACAAGGCTTAATAAAGTCAAGTCAAATCACATTTGCAGCCTGAGTCTCTTCAGGAAGAACAGTCGGCTCTGTCCAGTCCTGAAGAGAGCTTCAGTATTGAGTCCAGTCCAGTTTTTTTTATTGATTTGGACCGCGAGGTGCCTGTATGAGTCTTCCCTGGATGATGACCAGCATGGCTCATTGGTTTTGCTGATATTGAGCTTTAGGTAATTGTTGCACTATGTGACAAAGTCCTCTGTAAGTGCAGCACAGTTTCACACTTTTTATTAAATCCCTTCAAAGTCTTCACTACATATGAGTCGGGGCAGACGTGGATGTGTAAACTTAACAACAACTGCGAGGCTTTACTTTACTTTACTTCTAGTTATTTCCACTGTGAAAATAAACAAAATAGTTGTGGACAAGCTGCTTAATACCAGTCAGACTAACTCATCTTCTGTTTGTGTGTTTTTCCTTCAGCTCTTTGATGCAAAGAACATCCACCAGACCTTCCAGCTTGTGTTCAACATCATCGTGAACGGTGATGGTACTCTGACTAGAAAATACTCCGTTGACCTTTTGGTTGACCTGTTGAAGAACCCCAAGATAGCAGTTTATCTTACTAGGTACGGCCACGAACGCATACATTTTCCCACGTAGAGTGTTTGACCGCAGTGTTTGTTTCTCAGCCACATTAACATGACTCTTTCCATTTCAAGGTATGAACACTTCTCAGCGTGTGTGTCTCAAGTTTTAGGACTGCTGCACTCAAAAGATCCAGACTCTGCAGCAAAGGTGAGACGAGTGGACGAGTTGCACATTCTGCATTTCTCTGTGTATGATTGTAAAACTTTACAAATGCACAGAAACCATCATAGGTGTCTAAAGTGTGTTTGATGTTATGTTGTGCATGAAATCATGTGTTATAATGTGATGCTCTTCAGCTGCAACTGCAGTAACCACTGACCTTTTATGTGGTAGAAGTATTTTTGGTCTTTATTAGACAGAGGTCAGTAGATATATAGATATATATATTTATATATATATATTTATATATATATATATATATATATAAATAAATAAATAAATAAATCTATATAGATAAATATATATCTCTATATATATATATAGATAAATATATATATCTATATCTATATAGATAAATATATCTATATCTATATAGATATAGATATATATAAATATATATATATCTATATAGATATAGATATATATAAATATATATATATATATCTATATAGATATATATAAATATATTTATATACATCTATATAGATATAGATATATATATTTATCTATATATATATATATATTTATATATATATATATATATATTGAGATATATATATATGTATATAGAGATATATATATATATTTATATAGATAGATAGATCTATATAGATATAGATATATATATTTATCTATATATATATATATATATATATATATATATATAGAGATATATATATATATATATATATATATATTTATCTATATAGATATATATATATATATATATATATAGAGAGATATATATATATATATTTATATAGATAAATATATATATATATAGAGATATATCTATATTTATATAGATATATATAGATAGATATATCTAGATATATCTATATATAGATAGCTATATATAGATATAGATATATCTAGATATATCTATATATAGATAGCTATATATAGATATAGATATATATATTTATATAGATATATATAGATAGATATATCTAGATATAGTAGATATATCTATATTTATATAGATATATATAGATAGATATATCTAGATATATATCTAGATATATAGATATATATAGATAGATATATCTAGATATATATCTAGATATATATATAGATATAGATAGATATATAGATATATCTAGATATATATCTAGATATATATATAGATATAGATAGATATATAGATATATCTAGATATATATCTAGATATATATATAGATATAGATAGATATATAGATATATCTAGATATATATCTAGATATATATATAGATATAGATAGATATATAGATATATCTAGATATATATCTAGATATATATATAGATATATCTAGATATATATATCTAGATATATCTAGATATATATAGATAAAAATCCCCATCACAGTTTCTGCGTGTTGTCTGCAGGTGCTGGAGCTTCTCCTGGCCATGTGCAGTGTCTCAGGTCTGCGTTCGCTGCTGTGCGAGGTGGTTTTCAGACCAGCGGGACCCAAACTCAGAGCTGCAGGCCGCAGGCAGGGTGCTGGACCGGACGGTGGGCGCAAAGCTGAGTGTGGGCTCGCCCTGGTACAGTGGCTGAGCCTGCCTGTGGAGGGAGCTGAGTCCTGCTCGCTCCAGGCCCTGCAGCTGCTGAATGAGCTGCTGGAGGTACGCAGACACTGAGGAGACTTCTCAGCGTGGCGTAGTTGTTGTGGAACAGCAGCGTGGTGTAGTTGGTTGTATTATATGCTGATGAAATAAATATCAGCAGCTTTTTTAAAGCACGTTTGCATTGAAAGAAATAAAACACTATGTAGACTTTTGTACATTTACAGACCAAAACACCAAAATGTATTATATTAATGTTAATATTAATTATATCATATTAATTATATAAATTTATATTATATTTTATTTTTATTTTTGTACATTTACAGACCAAAACACCAAAATGTATTATATTAATGTTAATATTAATTATATCATATTAATTATATAAATTTATATTATATTTTATTTTTATTTTTGTACATTTACAGACCAAAACTCCCAAATTTATTTATTTTTCTTGCATTTTTATCTGTTTTTGATAGTGACATGACAGGAGTGGGAGATTATTTTAAATACTCGTGCAGATCTGAGACCTGATTTTTAGCACTGACACAAAAACCTTATTGTGATGGTCCAAAAAAACACTTTTTTTATTTACCAAAAGCAGCCAAATTTCTAAAATAATTAAATATCTGATCACCATAATATTTGATGCTATCTTTTAGTGCCTGATAGTTTTCCATATTCAGTGTTACGAACTCGTTTTGTTCGGTTGTGTTGCCTTGTGGAAAACCTTCTGTACATGTTCCAGCACTAGATGAGTTAAAATGACCATGATTTCAGTTAACTTTGTGTTTTCAGTTTCCATAAACTTCCTGCATTCAGGTTTAAGTGTGTTTGAGTCTCTCTTTGAGTTGTATTCTCCACTTCCTTTCCCTTTCTCTCGGTCCAGGAAGCGCTGGGAGCAGAGAGTGTGTCTGACTGTGTGCTGAGCTTCATCGAAATGCTGCTTCCAGTCCTGTTGGGGCTGCTGAGGGGCCTCGATCCTGCACAGGGAGACTCTCACCTGAGGAAACACTGCCACCGCATCACACACGTCACCAGTCTGCTGCTCAATATCCTTTACCTGCCCCCGTCTGCTGTGTGTGTGTGTGTGTGTGTGTGTGTGTGTGTGTGTGTGTGTGTGTGTGTGTGTGTGTGTGTGTGTGTGTGTGTGTGTGTGTGTGTGTGTCTGTGTGTGTGTCTGTGTGTGTGTCTGTCTGTGTGTCTGTCTGTGTCTGTGTCTGTGTCTGTGTCTGTGTGTGTGTGTCTCTGCGTCCGTTCTGAAGCCTTAACTCCTCCACTCCTGTGTGCTGAGGACGCCACCAGATCTTTAGTGTCCCGCCAGGTGAGCGCCCAGCTCTGCCTCTCGCAGGTTGAATCCCTCCTCTCCTGTTGTCATAGCAACAGCCCCCTCACCTGCCTCCCTCCCGGCTCCGACAACGATCTCGGGTGAGTGGCGGCCGTGGTTCCGATCGCCGTTTTACAGCAACTTTGTCGATCTGCTAATCGTTACCTAATTCTGATCAGGTGAACGACAATTAATAATTAATATTTAAAAATGTTTATATCCTGCTATATTGATTTTGATTAGAGTAGACTTGATTATTGATATCAAATATTTGCTGATAGAAATGTCTAATAAGGGTTATTAATTGTTGAGATAATAAAGCTTGTGCTGAAATTATTTGTTGCTTAATCAATTAGTTGACAGAAAATCAATCGCAAACAATTCTGGTATTTGATTAAATATTATTGGTAATTTATCAGGAAAAAACTATAAAATTATAGATAAATATATTTGGACTGTTTTGGTTGACATTTAATTGACTAAAGGATTACCATTATTCTATTAATCAAAAAAAGAAAAACCTATGGATTAATTACCATTAGTTAAAATAAGATAAAATAAAATGAGATTAGATAAGATATACTTTTATTAATCCCCAAAAGGAGAAATTCAAGTTACACCCAGCAATGTGGGGAATATAGTGAAATTAAAAAAAAGAGTCCAGTGTACAAGTACAATCTTAGCACAGATAAGAATATTACAAAATATAATATAAATATAAAACTATAAGTACAATGATGTGAAATTTAAAATATTTTAAGCAGCTTGACTAAAAAACTAAACTGTACATGTGCAATTTAAGATAAATAATATAAGTTTGGTTTGACAGCATGTTCCTTATTTAAATAACTTCTACCTTGTTTCCTGGAAAGTGCACTGCTATGCAGTAAATTACACCAAACAGGATATACAGTCTATATAATTAGCTCTGCAGCAGCCTGCTACAATATTAAAACCTTCATTAAAATCATCTTGCGGTCTTTGTGCAGAGTTGTGTGTGTTTTTGTGTTTTCAGTCAGCTGTATGCAGAAGCTCTGCTGAGGACTCTGGAGTTAATGAGCAAACTGAGGCAACAGGTGAAAGACATGGAGACCAGCTTCTACAGGATGTTGCAGGTACACACTCATCTATTCTTCCACCCACTATGCTCATATCATTTGTTTTTCTTCCTGTTCTGTGGTTTTCTCTGTGGTTGACTGATACGTGGGTTTAGCTGTGAAGCTGTACAGTTCAGAACGTGACCGGTGTTTAAGTAAGGGTGCATTATTATTATTATTATTATTTTATAACTTAATGTATATTTAACAGCAGCCAGTAACTGTTTGAGATTAGATTTGCTGTAACTTAGAAGAAACATCACCACCTTCCCAAAACTCACAAAGAGGAAGCGCTAACATCGTTCCACAGCAGTCGGATAGATAATCAACCCGATTAATCACCACTGTGACCCGTTCCCCTCTCTCTCTCTCTCTCTCTCTCTCTCTCTCTCTCTCTCTCTCTCTCTCTCTCTCTCTCTCTCTCTCTTCCAGGACCAGAGGATCGTGACTCCCCTCTCTCTGGCCCTGACCTCCCACCACAGAGAGCGAGTGCAGACCGGACTCTCGCTGTTGTTCGAAGCTGCCCCCCTCCCAGACTTCCCCTCGCTGGTGTGAGTCACTCGCTGGAAACAACACATTTAAATAAAGTCCCAGGATGCAGATATACATATTTGTTTACACGATTTACAGGAAGATAGATAATAGAAGTCGAATACAGTCATTTATTTGGTTTACAGTCCGTCTGTTGATAGCTCAAAGTGAGTAGAGTGTGAACATTAATCCAACCATATTTCTGAAGTTTGGGAGAAAGTATCGCCGCCAACAACGCCTATCGCCAGAGGGAGGCTGAGCTGTCCGTCAAACGTATTGCTGTGCAGGAAGTCCCGCCTTCCAGCATACTGGACTCCTCCAACAGGAGTGTCCACAGTCTGGTTGAGAAGATACAGAATGGGTTGGAGGTACAGTATGTAACTTCTTATGTTGTTGTACTTACTGGCACCTTTTAAAGCTTTATTTAAAAGATACGATCCTTTTCATTTAAAGATTTGGATCATTTAATAGCCAGAAGTCGTCACTTTGAGGCAGAGCTGTTTGTTTGTTCAACCTTCCTCACACATCTGCTCTCAGCTTTTATTTTGAAATGTGAAGCATGTCAAAATCTGAATTTATTTAGAGCTGCAGAAAAACTTAATTTAGGAGAAATTAATTGTAAATTCTGTTAGATAAATTAAATAAAACCAGAAACTGAGTCCGTCAGGGGTCTTCTATCATAATCTATTATTACCATTATTATTTTAGTCATTTTAATTACATTATTTTAATTATAGTGACATTTATCACTTGCAGTATTGCCCTTTGCCAACAAAAAAATGTTCTGTTTGTGCCGAACAGCATGGTAAAAGCCTTAAAATGAACTTTCTTTCAGCTGTCCGTGTGGAATGATTTATTTCTCTGATGTTGTTGTTGTGTTGTTGTTGTTTATAGCTGCAGGAGAACGTGAAGGACTCACATGTGTCTGAGATCATCGACGTTTATGAACAGAAGCTCTCAGCGTTTGTGGTGACAAATAACTTTCCTCTGTTTCTGCCCCCTTGTGTTAAACCCCCCCCCCACAGAGGACTTTGTTATCAGTTTACTGTTACTTGTTACTGAAGTTGATGACTCAGCTCTGTGGTAATGTTCGAGGCTGCTGTTGATGCAGATGTTCTATTAGATTAGATTTAGTGCTCGTACATTACCAGCAGAAAACAACCGTAGACTTTGAATCAATTAATCAATCAGTAATTGTATGCTACTTTATGCTTCTATTCCACATTTATTAGGGATCTGTAGTTACTTAGTTACAACATACAGTGAATTAAACCCCCCCAACCCAGATATTAAAATGCATCTTAATAACAAACTAATCAAATAGTAAAATGTATAATAATCTAACAAGGACAGAACTCAGTTTGGCTGCAGAGTGCTTTTACTTTTATTTAAGCACACTGATGCTTTTACTTAAGTCAGACCTTCAGTCTTAGGTCAGGTTAATTTTGTGGTATTTATACTTTTAGTTATATAAAAGAGTATTCACAAAGATAAGATGTGTCGGACTGTTAAAGATATTAAATTTCATTTGTTTTAAACTACTTGAGGGTTTTTTGCCACGTAGGTTTTCACATACAATGAATTTGCCTCGGTAGATTAACAATAAACACAGAGAATATGTTATAAATATATATATTATAGCTGTTATTTACATGAATGAAGAGCTAAATACTGTGCAGGTTAGCAGTGTGACATAAAACCATATGGATCTGGTTTTAAAATGACGGCTGGCTCAGTTTTCTTTAACAGTAACGTCTCTTTTGCGTCTCCCCGTCAGTCCAAGGAGAGTCGACTGCAGGACTTGTTGGAGGCGAAAGCTCTGGCTCTCTCTCAGGCCGACCGTCTCATCGCTCAGTATCGCTTCCAGCGGGCTCAGGCTGAGGCGGAGGTAACGTTCACACACACGGGGGGCAACGGGAATGTGGCGGGAGTCATTCATTTTCTATTGTTTTACTAAACTCTGGCCAACAAATATTGGCTCCTCAGTTTAACCTGCAATCATTTTGATTGGATTTTCAATGGGCAGAAAATCAATTGGCCAATATTTTGATAATCGATAAATAATTTGAGTGGTTATGGAGCAAAAATGCTAAAAACTTACTGTAATTTTTCTGTTTTATGTCAATTTAAAGACAGTTTTCTGACATTTTAGAGACAAAAAGCTGAATTGAGAAAATAATAGTGAGATCAATTAATTAATGAACAATTAAAATAATAACTTTGATTTAGGTTGTCTCACAATGTTTATCTAAATGAGAAAGTGAGGAACATCTGATATAAACATGTTTTCAAAGCCATTGTTAGAACTGTGATGGTATTATTATTAATATTAAGTACTTACATCGATACTCGTTATCAGCAATTACCCAAAAGTACTTTTCCTGATTCAATCTTTAAACCTTGGATGTTGACTGTTTTTATATTCTTAACAAACTTTATTCCTGCTCATTATCTTTTAATATGAAATAAACACAGTGCTGGTAGAGCGCAGTCGGTCTCACCAGCCTCAGTTTGATGCTTCCCCGTTGCCCACAGGCCTGTAAGCTGGGCTCTCTGCTGAAGGAGGCGGAGCGTCGGCGCGAGGATCTGCAGTGCGAGCTGAGCAGCCAGGTGCTGGAGGTGGAGCGCTCCAGGGCCGACATGGAGGAGCTGCTGCAGCACAACGCCCGGCTGCAGCAGGACTCGGAGGAGCACCAGGCCCTCAAGGGAGCCTACAACGCCCTGCTCAACAGGTCAGAGGCAGACAGGCAGGATGGATGGAAGAGACAAGAATTACTGTTATATACAGCTGGGAAGTGCTGACAAAACTGTGATATAAATGTCAATAAGTTGATTCTTTTAATAAGTAATTAGTAGTAAAGTAAGTTTACTGCTCTAAATCCTCATACGTGTTACATTAGGGGATGTTTATGGATCAGCTGGTAGCTCCTGTGGGTTCATGTGCTCTCAAACAACAGTTCTAGATGAAGTTAGAACAACATCCACCAGTCAGTTAATCTGTTGAGCTTCAGGCTGCAGGTGACCGACTGTCGGAGCTTCAGCAGCATCAGTGTGTGTGCAGGTTTACTGGTTTTAATGTCTGTGTAACCTGTGAATCTCCTGCACAGGTTCAACGAGAGCGAGCGGCTGCTGAAGGAGCTGCAGGCGGCTCACATCTCGCTCACCAAACAGAACGACACTCTGAGGAAGAGTCACGAAGCTCTGCAGCTGCAGCACGACAAGTAACCCACACACACTTTATTTAGTTTATTATTTATCTCTGGTCTTTTATTTATTTTACATAAATACAGTTGGAAGCACATCAGTCAGCAGAGCGCTCTTTAAATACTGTCTGTCTTTCTCAGGGTGGCGTCGGTGTTGGAGGACAGAGAGGAGGAGATCAGGTCTCTCCACTCAGATCTACAGCAGAAGAACAGCGACATCGCAGGTCGGTCCGACCTCAGTCAGCTTGTAAAACTTAAATGTTCAGAGCCACCTTAAAATAGTCTTATTGTTTGAGATTTCTCATCAGAAATAAAATAAAACTCGACCAATATTGGAGTTTTTGAAGCGATACAAACAAACTTAAGATAATAGCAACAAACAGAACAGCAGTATTTACATTTCTGCTTATTAATTTATATAATTAACTCCCGGCTGCTTTACGTTTGCCTCATTTCCGTCAGGTCTGCGCGGTCAACTGCAGGCCGAGGAGGAGAAGGTGACGGAAAAGGATCGAGAGAGGAAAGATCTGGAAGAGACGGTGGATGTTTTGAGGAAGGAACTAAACAAGACGGAGCAGGCCAGGAAGGACGCCAGAATCAAGGTAAGGACGAGGAGAGAAACAAACACTACAAAAACATTAAAGCTCCAGTGCGTAACATTTATATTATTCATAGGTATGTTTTCATTAGTGTATAATCACCTGAATATAAGAAGGAGGCCGCCTTGTTGATTTTATATATCCGTCTTCTTATTATCTAACAAACTTCTGCTGTTTAACAAAGTTTATGGCTCGTATTTTCAGGCATCTTTAATCTGTTATTTGATGCCATCTGAACTAACAGACTCCCATCCAGGAGGAAACGCATCAAAGTTTGAATAAATTCTGGTTGGTTCAAACTTCTAGTGAAACTTTAGTTTGTTTTGAAACATTTGTTTTAATTTCAATGAACTTAATTCAGTCTTTATAGTCCTGTAATCGTGTGGTAAAAACACACATCAGAGCCAACGTAATGACGATAACAAACAAGAACAGACGTTTTTAGCTTTGTGACAGTTTCAATCTAATCTAAGATGTTTTTTTACAATTTTATTTAGCTGAAGAAGTCGGAACATTTTCTGAATCCATAGTTTTCACTGGACAATAAAGGTTAAAGGTTGTAATCTGAAAAAGTAACTAAAGCTGTCAGACAAATGTAGTGAAGTAAAAAGTACATTATTTGTCTCTGAGGTGTAAGTGGAGTAGAAATATAAAGTTTTATAACATGGAAACACTCGAACTTGAACATAAACAACAACAAAGTTCCTACAAATGTCAGATAATCGTATCTATTCAGTATCTAATGTTTTAGAGATCCGAAGCGCTGAACCTTTGGTCGCTCTGTCCCGTATTTTTCTTCCAGGCGTCGTCTCTGGAGCTGCAGAAGAGTCAGCTGGAGACGAAGCTGAAGCAGAAGGAGGACGAGCTGAACAAACACTCTGCGATGATCTCCATGATCCACAGCCTCAGCAGCGGCAAGATGAAGAGCGACGTCAACCTGTCGCTCTGAGGGACGTCAACCTGTCGCTCTGAGGGACGTCAACCTGTCGCTCTGAGGGACGAAGGACAAGAATAGGGTTTTTAACAAAAAACAACTTTTATGGATAATGAACTTTTTTACACTTAATAAAATATACTAAACTAAACTTGTATTTTTAAGGTCATAATAAAATCTTTGTATGTGTTTGTGTTGTGGTTGTTTGGTAAATAAATGATCTGCACTCAAGTCCAGTTAATATATAATAAGATTTAATACTTTTGTCTATGTTACATTCTTGAAAATACATGTATGCTTATAATAATACCACCTTAAAGAGATCATATTTAATCCCATTTGTCTCAAACAAAAACATAAAGAAACACCAACTATGATCTTAATTGTTCTCTAGTGGAAATAACTAATAGAGAATAAAATAAGGGAAAACAGTTAAGATGATTTTGTTCATTTTCTGTGCCCAATAAGTTTATCTTTATCTTTCGCAGTTGAAATGACAAATTCGGTTGATTAGATGGGAACATTTTACCCGTTTAGTAAAAACAAACGACTGTAAAAAGGAGAAATAAGAACATTTCTAGGTGAGGCAGGTGCCAGCAGCAGGATGTGACCCTGAGGTAAAAGTCTCATAACTTCCTGAAAGTGTTTTTTTAATAACAAACAAGGTAAAGTTGACCTAAATATGAGAAATCAAAACTTTTGAAACTTTCCCTTTCAGCAGGTGAGTGACATACAGAAGCCCCGAGTTCCAAAAAATAATATTCTGGTGATTCATTAACTTGTTAACACACAATATATATATATAATATATGGCTTCTAGCAGTGTAGTAGTTCTTCACTCAGAAATCCTTTTTACTTCATTATAATGTTAATTAATTTGGATGTTTGAGCTCCACTGTGCACAGTGTTTGTTTTCACGTTGGTCTGCTGTGTTAGATTGAATGACCTTACAGCTGGAAGCCGATCACAGTCCGATATGCAACTGGTTTTTCAGCAGGTTAATGAGGGAGAAGATCTAATTTCTTTCCAGATTATTGACCCTTTTTTGTGAGAATAAATACGTCCTAAACCACATTTAAATCCAAATGGGGGAAGCCATGCCTCCGTGATGTAGCTTCTCCCATTAAGAAACTCTGTTATCGTTTCACACCCAACATCAGTATTTATTCTCTCTTCCTACAAATCAGCTCAATGACAGCCAGTGAGTTTAAGAGTTTGGTTGTGGCGCCCTCGTCTGGCCGATCAGTGTAAAAAAAAAAAACGCTTTAAAAGAATAATGTGTATTAAGATTTAATCCCTCACGTTACTGTAAAAGTCACATTTTTGGGTATTTTTTCTTTAACTAGTAATCTAAATCATAATTTTCTACAGAGACGTTTTATATTCAAATCTTTCACCTGTTTTTTTGATCCATTCATACCTTGTGTGCTAATAAAAACAGTAACTAATCCTGTAATAAAAAATCTAATATTGTAGTGGAGTAATATTTCAGTAATGTAACAGTACTTCTATTGTACTTTAGTGCAGATTTTAAATACTCTTTCCACCAATTATTATGATTATTCATGTGTTCATCACTTTAATGACTTAATATACTGTATTTTATAATCATATAATTTATTTTTTTATATACTTTATGTTATTAATCGGAATGTTCAAAGTTAAAAGTAAATAAAATGATTAAACATTTCCCCTCTGAAATGTTGTGTAAAGTCACAGAAGTACTTAAAGCACAGTTCGTCCCACCGCTGCTCCTTACTTATTGATAGATACCAATATATCTATCATAGATTAATATCAGCTCTAACTTTTCCTTTCAAAACAAGAGCACAAAAAACAATGAATTCCTCTGGTCTTTTAAAAGTTCAAATGTACAGAAAAGAAAGAAAAACAATGTAATGCAGACAGTTGTGTTACATTAATCTATGATAAACAGTATAATTGAATTATAATCAGCAGCTCATGTGTTTGTTGTGATGTTATTTCGGTATCTGACACCCTCCCTCCTCCCTCTCTCTGTTTCCTGTACAGAGCAGAGGTTGATGGCAGCCGGCTGTGTTTTCTATTTTCTGTCCTCTGTGTTTCCGCAGCTGCTGCCCGTCACTCACTCAGTCTTTTGGCAGAAGGTCGGTGGGTAAAAGGACGCCGGACTTGTCACCGTGAAGCAGTCAGCCATGAAGCTTCAGCATGCAGCTCTGGCCACCGTGTTCCTGCTCGCTCTGCTCTCATCTGGTGAGTTGTTTCAAAATCTGACCCTCAGATTTAAGTTTGAAGCTGTAAAATTGATTTGATCCAAAGTTTAGTTGAGCCAAAGTTTGACTGACGTGCATCCTAGAAGGCCCGTACTGACTATTTGAATATTAAAGCAGCAAATATTTGGTGTCAGCTGTAAATATATCTATTTATTTAGTTTTTAGGCAGAAACATACAAGATTTTCTTCAACTTTACCCCTCAACTATTTGCTTACAATGTTAAAAAGATCATCTTTACCAGTATGAAACACAGGATAATAAAAAGTTAAAGTATATAAACTATAGGAGCCTAAAGCTGGAACAATTAATTGATTCATCAATTAGTCTGTTGACAGAAAATGAATCTGATAATAGATTCATCTATTTTGAGGCAAAAATGACTAAAATTCACAGCTAAAATGGAAATATTTAATGTTTTTCTTTGTCTTTTATAATAGTTGGACAGTTTGAATCTGTCAGGCTGCAACTTTTTAACTATTTTATGACATTATAAAGACCAAAAGATGAATTAACGCTAATAAAAATAGTCGTTAGTTGCAGAATTAGTAAAAAAATAAGACGAGTGACGAGATCATTGGAGCTGACTGATTCCATAAAGTGAAAATAAAAACAAACATGGCCGTGTGGTAAACTGGAAGTGTTTGGAGGGGAAATGTCTGCCTGTGTAGATGGCCTGAACCGCAGAGCAGCTGCCTGAAATACGACCGGCATGAAAGTATTCACACACACTCAGGCCCTGTTTGTTGTCCTGTGTGTGTGTGTGCAGAGGAATGCTTCATTTGCAGTGTATTTATGTCACTGTACACTGAACAAAGACACGTTTTACATTAATGTGTCCACTAGACAAATTGGACTTTAAATGGTGGCAAACAATCACATATATCCATATTTTACGTACAATATGTATTATTGTTGCTTGTGAGTAAAACATTAAGGTATTAGAAATCAATAAAAAAAATGTATTTCCAAATTTTCATATTTTATTCAAAATATGTCTCTTTTCATTTTAATCTTTAATTATTTTTTGTTAATGATTCCATTTTTAAAATTTTATCTAAATGAATGTGTTACATTTGACACCAATTTAGAGGTGGACGGGCATTTTTTTTCACGCCATCTTCTGCACAAAGGCAATGAAATGCAGTTAACATCTAACAAAAAGTGCCAAAAGAATAGTATTATTTACAGATAATGTATAAGTTGGTACTACACAGGGTTCCCAGGCATCCTGGAAAACCAGGAAATTTAGAAACTAGTTTAAAATGACCAAATATCCTGGAAATAATCAATGTTGTTTAGACAGGGCATTTAGAAAAATCGGATTGTGTTGTCTTGTATTGTAGAGACAGAAAGAAAAGAAAATGTCCTGGAAAGGTCCTGGAAAACAACTTCTTAAACAGAGTGGGACTACAGCATAGTGTTGTTGTTATATCTTAGAGTATGTACAGTGTTACTGACAGTGGAGGCCAGTAAATATACAGATAATATATGTGTCTAATGTGCAGTATGTATAAATGTGTCTTTATGTTTTACTTTTCAGAAGGAAATATTAGTTTTTACTCAGTAGTTACTTTACAGATGAAGATTTTTTTTTGGACTCTTGCAGTTGATGTTTTAAATGTTTTATTGACTTAAATGTTAAAATGTGTGTTTCTATGTGTGTCAGAGTGCTGGGGCAGGAACGAGGAGGAGCGTCTGATCAACTACCTGATAAAAGAAAAGGGATACAACAAGGAGCTGCGTCCTGTTGAGAGGCAGCAGGACGTGGTGGACGTTTATCTGGCACTCACACTCTCCAACCTCATCTCTCTGGTACAGGCCGAGTGTGTGATGATACTTTCAGATTCCAGTGTGAACAGATGAACTGACGATTGTCGATCTACAGTGAATTCAGATATTTCTGATCTGATATTGATACTTGTATCTGATTCAAACCTCAAGTGAAAGCGGTCCAAATCAGAAGTGAAAAGATCAGATTCCATGTGATTTGTGTTGTTCACAATGTCATAAAAAAAATCAATAATAATTGATAATTGAATAATTTAATCAATTAATGGTTATCAACATTTATAATTATCAAAAGATAATAGAAAATTATATTAATTAATATTAAAGATCCTCGGGGCACCACCCTTAAATAAGGGAACAATAACCAATAATTGATTCTCATAAAAATACACTAAACTATTCATTCAGAAGTCAGACTAATAATTAAATGAATAACTACAACCAAAATCATTAATAATAGCTAAAGTTGGAGCTATGGAGTTCTGCATAGAAGAGGTTGGTATCACTCACTCTTTTAAATTTAAAATACGATTAAATACGCCAGCATATGTAAATACAAACATTTATTAAAGAGATATAATAAAAGCAAACAGTGGAAAACAGTGTGTGTGTGTGTGTGTGTGTGTGTGTGTGTGTGTGTGTGTGTGTTCGCATGGGGTTTGCGCGCCAGGAAAGGTGTGTCCTTTGTCCTCTGACCAGATGTTTCAGGGTATGAAACACGTGTTGGTGAGAGACAAAGAGCATAGAGAAGCGGGAGGGTTTGAATCCCTCTCCTCGTGTATGTGCTGAGGTTCATGCCGAAAATGTGTGTGTGTGCTTTTAGATTAACGGTGCCGTTAAAAAGGAGTTAGTTGTATGCAAAGTTGTCAGCGGTGTGCTGGCCAGGGGTCGCAGGAAAAGCAGGCTTTTGTGCCGTGCTATAATCCTCTGTCGTGTGTCGTCAGCGGGTTGGACCACGTCGAGGTCCAAAATTTATCAGCCGGTGTGGGCAAGCAAGGTGAGCGAGAGAGCGAAGGGAGAAGAGAAGAGAGAGAGAAGAGCCTCTCTCTGGCTTAAATAGCCGAGATGACAGGTCTGGGGTCCGAGGGAATCTGACCAATGAAAGGCCAGTGTTTGAGGGGTTTACTGCCTTCATGCTATACCTTGACTGCATTCCTGGACCCCCACTGTGAGGTCTGTTATCTGGCCTTTAAAACTCAGATAAGTTTGAAACCTTAATTTCAAATAAGAATTGGTCAAATACAATAAGATATCGTTAATAAAACATTGTTTTGATACTGGAGTTTTGAAAAATGAAAATCTCAAGAAGTCAAGAGGAGAGCGGGATGAAGAGTTGGTCTGTTCTTCATTTGTAGAAAGAAGTAGACGAGACGCTGCTGACGAATGTATGGATAGAGCACGTAAGTAAATCAGTCACTTACTGTTTCACTTTACGCTGAAGGCAACATTAATATATATTTCCAGTAACTGTCTCTGTGTGTGTGTGGTGACAGACGTGGACTGACTACCGGCTGTCGTGGAATACGACAGAGTTTGACGGCATCGAGGTGCTTCGTCTGCCGCCCAACATGGTGTGGCTGCCGGAGATTGTGCTGGAGAACAAGTGAGATTCCAACCTCCTGTCATACAGCCCTGACAGGATAACGTTTATTATTTAGAGATTAGAGCTGGAAGTAACGTTTGAAAACCTACAATAATCCCTTTTGTCTGTAATGTTTCATAGCAAAAGAAACTAAAGAGATATAAGAGCAATAACTAAATGTGTGCTTTTATTTAAATATAAAACTATAAAGTCGGGAAGGACAGTACTTCTTCATCAAGGTTCAGTTCTGGGTCATATTCCTTTTTGCCTTGGATGTGCCTCCCTTCGAACAGTTATGAGACTCTTTAAAGCTTTAAGTCCCAGAAACTGGGAGATTTTAATTGGGTCACAATTAAATGTGCAAAATGTCTTCCTCCTGCTAAATGCACCTATTTTATGTCATTTATAAAGTACTTAAAATGTTTATTATTTTATTGATGAGAGGAAATTAAAACAATGAAACGCTCTGTTACATTAACCACATTCATTAAGTTAATCTATCTATCTATGTAGATGATATTCAACTATACATCTCATTTAATGAAGTGCCTGAACTCTTTTAAACAATGGTAAATAATCTCCGACAGCTCAATGCCAACAAACAGAAGTTCATTAGACAGAAACAATCTCACCTCTAAGTTCATTTAAAAGCTGTTCTGGAGCTTTCAATCATATCGTATGAGCTTCATCAGCAGATTGAAAGCTCCAGAACAGCTGCTAAACTGACCTTGATAGTGGAACCTCTCATGTATCCTACCCCGCCTTCTCCCTCCGCCAGTAATGACGCCCAGTTCCAGGTGGCCTACTACTCCAACGTACTGGTGGATTCTACTGGTCTCTGCTACTGGTTGCCTCCTGCCATCTTCCGCTCCTCCTGCTCCATCAACGTCAACTACTTCCCCTTCGACTGGCAGAACTGCACGCTCAAATTCACGTAAGGTCAACTATATTTTAAAAAAAAACCCACGAATAATCAAATGATAGTTTAGTGCAACTGTCATTTTGTTTATGTGTCTATTTGAATCTTTATTTAAGAGCATCATGGCCTTTCTTGATGTTCTCTCTCTGTGTTAACTCCATTTCCCGTGTTGCTTTACAGCTCTCTGACCTATAATGCTAAAGAGATCAGGATGCTGCTGAAGGAAGACGCGGATGAAACCAACAAATGGACGGTGGAGTGGATCATCATCGACCCTGCTAGCTTTACAGGTAATCATCCTCCCCAATCTCTCTCTCACAGTTACAGGTTCAGTATCGGGATTAGTGAAAATCTACTAAACCCAGTTTAATTATCTGAACCACTGCTTCCCAACCTTTTTTCCTTAAGGGACCCTCACTGACTAGACTGACGACCACTCACTAAATTAACACATTTTGTGGATATTTCATGTTATATTCAGTGCATAACAAGAGAACAACTGATAAACTGTAAAAAGTGAACACAATAAATGCAGGAAGTTTGTGTAAAAAGAGTGATTGGTATGGATTTTGAGATTATTTCCTGTGAATGTTGATCTTTTATTACAATCTTTTGTTTGATTATGTTTATTTTTAACAATCATACATATTTAATACAAAACAAATTCAGTGTTTTCTTCTCCCTGATGCTTTTTCTATTAGCTCTTTGGTTGTTATAACTGTGTTTTTTTACTTTAAAGATATATATAGTGTAGTTTTCCTACACACCCCCCTGTGAAGTTCTGGTGACCCCCCCAGGTTGGGAACCACTGATCTAAACCTCATTCTCCGTCTGTTCCTTGTCCTCTGTGTTGTTCCTCGCTGACAGAGAACGGCGAGTGGGAGATCATCCACCGGCCGGCCAAGAGAAACACCTACAAGCACGTTCCCATGGAGAGCAACAAGCACCAGGACATCACCTTCTACCTGACCATCAAACGAAAACCTCTCTTCTACATCGTCAACATCATCATCCCCTGTGTGCTCATCTCCTTCCTGGCCTCGCTCGTCTACTACCTGCCCGCTGACAGTCAGTGCACTTTCACCTCCTTAAACATAAAGAAAAGTAACATTTCAGCATTAAAATGTCTTTAAACTCTTGGACAAATGTTTCCAACAAAGTTCAAACTCAGAGAAATCTGTCACGTTATTCAGGTAACGCTGTGTTTTCACCGGTCGCCGGACGATGGCGTCATATCCCCTTTGTGCCTGCGTCAGCGTTATGGTTGTCTGCCAGAAGCTGTCATACATTGACTGTTTATCCAGTCTGAAGTCACATTTTTACCATCCACTGTTTAGATCTTGGTGCCTTTTAACTCTTTAAGGATTTTAGTCATCGGACGTCTGGATCTTAAGTTATCAGAGAAACAAGCTGGGCTAACGTTAGCAGCAGCTCGGCTTGCAGACCCAAATACAGACGGGAGTTGTGTTCAGTTAGTTGCAATCTGAAAATCACCCCCCTAAATCCTACATGCTGGTCCTTTAAGTAAAAGCGTAATCAGGAAAATGTACAAGTATAAGTATTATTTTTATTATGTATTATTTTGGTGATTCATTAATTATTTGCTGTGTGAAGCCAAATTATTTCAATTAACACCTTTGCAATATCCTAACCTCAAAATTATTACAAATATATTAAATGCATTAATACGATTAAAAGAAAAGGCTGCAGTACAATGTTTTTTTTTACTGGTGTGTGTGTGTGTGTGTGTGTTTGTGTGTGTGTGTGTGTGTGCAGGTGGTGAGAAGATGACCTTGTCCATCTCGGTGCTGCTGGCTCAGTCTGTCTTCTTGCTGCTGATCTCTCAAAGGCTGCCGGAGACTTCGATGTCTGTTCCACTTATTGTCAAGTAGGTAACACACAGACACACACACACACACACACACACACACACACACACACACAAAGTGTACCCAAATAGAGACCAAACATCTGACAGAAATCTGGTGCTTTCGTCCAAGAGTAGAAGTGAAATGTTTACCAAAATCACATAAAAAAGAAAAACAAGTAAAACTAAAGCTTGTTTTATATCAATGAAAGATTAATAACAGTGTGTGTGTGTGTGTGTGTGTGTGTGTGTGTCAGATATCTGATGTTCATCATGGTGTTGGTGACGGTGGTGGTGTTGAACTGCGTGGTCGTCCTCAACCTGCACTTCAGGACACCGAGCACACACGTTATGTCTGATTGGACCAAGAAGGTAACACACACACACACACACACACACACACACACACACACACACCTATACATTCCTACATTGCTAACAGGGGACTGTCGGACTACCCTATCCAACAGGGGACTGATGTTTCTGGTTATTTAAAAAAACTAAAATAGCATAGAACATTTTCTTTTAAGGTCTTTTACCAGAATATTACTTCAAATGTAACTTTTTTCTTTTTTTTAAGATATTGCCAAGAAGGGACTTTTTTCCCATTATCGATGTCTACCTGTCAAAGAGGGGACCTCCATATACTGCAGTGGAACTGCTTCTACACATTCTTTTACCTAATGAGTGTTTGTTTACTGCAAAGACTTTCTTTGTTTCTTTCAAAAATACAATTTAACTGTAATGTTTTCAATATTTAAACCTTTATCTGCGATACAGATATTACAAAAATACATTACAAAAATAATCATGGCCACTTTTTTAGAGAATAAATAATATTTTACCTGCAATTAAGAATTAACTTGGCAGCATGCACTAATATTATGGCCTGCAATGCTAGCAACAAATTTAATTTGTATAGGCTTTAATTGCAGAAATGATATATTATTACAATAGTGCACTAATTTCAATTTCTTAGGGGAATTTGAATTATTTTTATGATGTGTGTGAAATGGTGAAATTAACAGAGTGGTCCATTCATCCTAATTAAGTTATTAGATTATATCTTATTTAGTTTTTGCCCTTAATAACAAACATTTCCTAATCTTGGGCATGTTTGAATCATGCGTTGACTGTCATGTTGTGGCAGTTCGGTCGTGACACAGATAACAGTCATCAAAATGCAGAAAAATAATCTATCTAAGTGGGAACTTGCGTCATTATGTACCAGCCAACAGGGGCCTCTTGTCATGTTATACAGTACAAGTGGGGACTTTTTTATGTACTGAGAATTAACAGACAATTATTGAGAAGAATTGGAAACTGAGCTTGTTTATTGAAAAACTGACTGACATCCAGTGCTTGTGAAAAGTGGTCAGTATTTAATATTTTGGGACTGAGCCACTTTAAAGGGCAAGTCAAAGTCTGATGTCAAGTTTATTAATTAAAACAGAAAAGACAGGATCCCACTGCTGACCTCTTTATTGCTATTTTTTTCCTGGTTGTTTTTAAATTTTTCTTCCCTTTTTAGAGTTTAAAATACTTATTACTCCTTTTTGTCCTTTTTGTGAATTTCCCCAGTGTGTCTATCTTATCTTTTGGACAGGCCTTTATGTTAATACCATTTCAAGTTTGAAATTTAGGAACATCCACTAAAGCTGAGCCTTATATATATATATATTTATTTTATTTTTTCACAAAAACTAAAAGAAATCCTGTATCCTTTCTTCACTATAGCCTTTATAATTGCCCCTCTACAGTCTGAAAGACAGCCTGGGGCTTAAGCACCTTGAAGGTGTGTTATAAACAATGCGTGTGAATGGGTCATGGGTCAAGGCTGAATATGGATTAAACACACCTTTAAGTCCCCTGTTGGCAAAAATGATAAAAAAGTTCACCAGAGCACATTTCACATGATTTTAGGTTGATCTAAAGCATGTCCAAGAAGGGACCCAAAAAAAGTCCCCTGTCTGTCTCTCAGTCCCCTGTTAGTTGGTGTGTAACGAAGTTCCCTGTTATATAGGTTGGCTACTGCACACACACACACATTATAAAACACAATACACAAACAGACTTATGCAAACACGCAGTCTGTCCAGTGTTGCACAACATGAATTTAAACTTGTTTTTTGTGTCCAGTTCTTCCTCGAGCGGCTGCCCCGCCTCCTCCGTATGTCCCGCCCCGCAGAGGCGGAGCCATACTGGGATGGAGTGTTGCCACGGCGATCCAGCTCAGTGGGCTACATCGCCTCGGCGGAGGAGTACTACAGTGTCAAGTCCCGCAGCGAGCTGATGTTTGAGAAACAGTCAGAGAGACACGGACTGATGACAAGAACCACACACGCAGCACGTACGTCCAATAATGTTGCTGAACATCAAAACCTGCAATAACTTTAACTTTTGGCTTCTTGCACTGAGACCTATCTTCCTGAGACCAGAGCTTTTGTTTGGTGTGCATTTTTACTTTCTCCTAGCTATTTGGGATTAGTAGGACCTGATAAACATAAAAACCAAACATCGTTATTGAAAAATTAGTAGTTTTCACAAAAAATGATGTGCTCATATGAGGACTTCAGGACTTTATTTACTGTAAAACTTTGTCCCCATATGAGGACGCAGGGTCGCAGGAGGATAAATTGAAAAATCTTTAGTGGTTTAGCTAATCTCTAACTGTCTGCTGCTGACTAGAGGGTGTTTACAGCTTTCCCCCAACCCTTCCCAAAAGATAAACAATGAGTTGGAACGCACTATAAAGCTCCGTAAAGTCAAAAGGTGAACAGCAAGCATTCTAGGTTACTCAGGATGCTGTGTGTAGGATTTAGTGGCATCTAGTTGTGAAGTTGCAGATTGTAACTCCCTTACTTTGCCCTCCTCTGGATCTTTAATTTACTTTGTAATTTTCTTCAAAATAGATAATAAAAGTTCCTAAATATGTAACTGTAGTCGTGTAAAGTTTTAACCTTAATCTTTCCATCCTCTGTGGGACATGAGGCCACAGTGATCTCATCCCATTATCACAGCTTTATTAACCTCCTCTGTGTGTATTTGTTTTGTGTAGTTGTGAAGCCACAGGAGGACGGAGGTGTGACAGATCAGCTGTATGCAGAGATCAAGCCAGCTGTGGACGGAGCGAACTACATCATCAAACACATGCGCAACAAGAACGACTACAACGAGGTGAGACGGGGAGAAATAGATGTGCTGTAGGTGTTTGATTGTCTGCAGTTTGAAGAGATTACAGCAGCAGATCAATGCCCATCACTGAGGAGTGTAACGTCCAGGTGTCCACGTACTTTTGGCCATGTATGTAAATTAAGAGGAGACACTTTATCTTTAACGCTCTCTTCACAGGAGAAAGATAACTGGAGTGGGATCGCTCGTACGGTGGACCGACTCTGTCTCTTCCTGGTTACCCCGGTGATGACCTTCGGCACCATCATCATCTTCCTGATGGGAATCTGTAACCACCCTCCACATCTGCCCTTCAAAGGAGACCCCCACGACTACAGAGAGGAAAACCCACGCCTGCTGTGACACACAGATTAATCTCCAGTGTTCAAATCCAAAAGTTTGTTGCTTCTTAATTGTTTTTGTTGGACAACTCTTCAGGTACATAGCTGTGTGTGTTTTCTTAAATTTGAAGTGAAAAACAAAGACAGTTAATTGCAGTTTTAATTGTATTTGTGTGGTTTGAATAAATGTTTACACTCAGCAGACATCTTTGATTTGATCTTTTTATGCCTCTGCAGCGGAGATAGTCGTGGCATCGGCATGTTTTCGGCCATAACCAAAATGTACTGGTGACATTTATCACTACTAAAAGGATTACTAGAAAGAACGATTTAAAAAGGTAATATACAGATATATAATGTTGCACTAATTACAACGATTCTCAACTAGCTAACATATTTTATCTTCTTGTTTCTGTGTTTTACAAATAAGTTAAACTGTGAAAATGTCTGGAATTGGTGGTAATAACCAGAACTTCATAGAGGTAACTTTAAGCATTCAGACTGGATGTTAATTTTTCACATCAACTTAATCAATTACAAATATATGGAAATTAACTGCACTACTCCATCATTCCACAGGGTGGAGCTGCAACAGAAAGCAACACTGAAATATCCAATTCAATGTGTTCATCTACAGTTCTGTTGTCATAAACAGAATGAATGTGTAGAGGCAGTTTGAGTTCAGAATATGTGAATGAATGAAAGAATAAAATCCAGGTGGAGGTTCCAGGTGGAGGAGGTGGTTGAGTGTGGAGCAGAAGGAGTGGAGGAGTCTCAGTGTGTCTGCAGAGACTGTGTAGAAGGACAGAGCAGCAGCAGAGCAGTCCAGATACACTGATGATACTCTGTCACATCCAGAGGAACACACAGGGATGATGGTGGACTTGACATTGTGTCTGACAGTGGAGCTGATCTCAGAGCAGTTCAGACTGCAGCACTGAGAGTCATCTCCACTGGTTGTGATTCCTCTGTCAGTCACTGCTGGATGAAGCTCTCCTCTCCACTCTACCTCCCAGTAACATGGCCCAGTCAGAGCTGATGCTGCTGCTTCAACCTCTCTGGATCATCAGGACACAGCTGATCCTCCAACACAACCTCCTTTCTCACCACTCACACTCTGACTGAGATCACTTCAATCTGATGAGAGAAGAAGACAGACAACAGAAGTCATAAATCAGTGTTTACAGAGACTCCCTCCATCAGCACATCCAGTATAAAGACCAGCAGGGACTTCAGTCCAGTTCAGACCAGAAGGTGAGCGGCTGTGTAGCGTAGCTTGCTTCCTTTCAGCTCTCATGTTAACGTATTGGAATGAACACACTGAGCTGAAGCTCACAGACCTGCAGACACTTTGGACATCAAGTCTGTTGACTCTGCAGATTTCACTGAAGTACACAGTGGAAATAAAGTGCTGAGAGTCCCTGAACGCATCATTACTGCAGAAACAGAGAGACATTCACTGCCCACTGTAATGATGGATTTTTTCTGCTGTTTGGGTTCAAAGCTGATAAAAACCACAGTCTCAGTCACATTTGAATGTTTCATCTGATTTTGAAATCTTACAGGACAGATCTGTAAATATGGAGTCTGTTTAAAATAATATAAAACATATTTGAACTAAACAAAAGACAAATGGACAGATATATATCTGATGTTAAAGGTCCTACATGTTCATACAAAGACTGAACAATAGCTGTGATTAATGGACTTCAGCAGAGGTTCTGGTCTGTACAAAGACCACATGGTCACTAAATATAATGATGGTTCTCTGAAATAAGATCCAGTGGTTTACAGGCTTCAGTCAGACTGATCTCAGAGCTGTGACAAAGATGAACTGATCAGTTGTTTAGTGTTGAAATGAGAGAACAAACACTTTGAGATCAGATTTGATGAATGAGGACCACTGTCTCTGTACATCTTGTAATGCTGTCAGCTGGAATCCAGCTTTATTTCCTGTAGACATGAGCACAACAACAACAGTCGTCTTCACATCAACTCAAACACATGATCACAACAAGCTTCTGGCTCTCTGATTGGCTGACTGTTCTCTCTCTGTCTGTCTGTCCAACCCTGAAGTCTGTCACCATCCTCCTCTCACAGCTTCACTGAGGAAAGCAGCAAATACTGGATCTTTGCTTTGATACTAACTGTGTTTAGTACAATACTGCTAAAACCAGCATGGACTGACTCCAACCCTCTACTGACCTCAGAGTCTCCAGTCTACAGTGTGGACTCTCCACAAGATCAGACAGCAGCTTCACATCTGAATCCTGCAGGTTGTTGTTATTCAGGTTCAGCTCTCTCAGATGGGAGGGGTTGGACTTCAGAGCTGAGACCAGATAATCACAGCTGATCTTTGATAAACTGCAGTCACTCAATCTGAATAAAGAATAAATTATGTAAGTTTCGAAGACAATGTTCCTGCTTGAAGTCATTCAGTGTTTAATAATCTGTTCAGAGCTGGAGAAGGTTTAAAATGTACATGTTTAGAAAATGTGAACAAAAGACATCTACAATCATTATTTTAGGAATAGTGGAGTCATAAAATCAAAGTATCTTCAGTTTAAACTATTCAGTCAGTATAAACATCATATAGTTTCATAACAATGTTGGAAACAGCAAATACTGAATATATATGTTATTGTCTGATAGTTGAAATACAAATTATTTATTTACTTATTGTATTTAGTTTTTATTAAAAACATGATGTGGAGTATAAGATGGAAATCAAGAGTTTAAGAGGTTCAGAGTGAATTATCCAGTGTAGATTTTTCTTGTTATATTCAGGTTTTAAATGTGGAGCTCAACATTGCTCTGCCACAGTCAATGGACTACACCACTGAAGAAGAAAGCAGACTTTAGTATTAAGATACTCAGTGTGTGTGTGTGTGTGTGTGTGTGTGTGTGTGTGTGTGTGTGTGTGTGAGGTGTGTGTGTGTGTGTGTGTGTAGGTGTGTGTGTGTGTGTGTGTGTAGGTGTGTGTGTGTGTGTGTGTGTGTGTGTGTGTGTGTGTGTGTGTGTGTGTGTGTGTGTGTCTGAAGGATCAATATCAATGATCAGACATTATTTATGAAAACACATTGAAATCAACAGAAACCAAAGAAATATTTCTCCTTCGGTAAACTTGATCAGTTTAAAACAAATATTAGTTCAGAGGATCTTCTGTATCCAGATGTGACCATTTACCAACAATTATAAACATTCATTTACTTTAACAACTAACAGTGGACATTTTCTACAGTTTCTTTAACAAACACAGGTCTTTGTGACTGCAGACTAAATTTAGTTCAACAAACATGAAAATATGAACAAAAGCAAATTTACAACTTTATGGATGTAAGTTATGTATGAACATAAATTAGGTTCAATTGTTAATTAAACATATCAGATCTACAACAGTAACAGAGAGTCAGTGAACTGACCCCAGAGTCTCCAGTCTACAGTGTGGACTCTCCAGAAAACCACACAGCAGCTTCACTCCTGAATCCTGCAGATTGTTGTTACTCAGGTTCAGATCTCTCAGATGGGAGGGGTTGGACTTCAGAGCTGAGACCAGATAATCACAGCTGATCTCTGACAAACTGCAGCTCCACAAACTGAATAAAGAATAAATGATGTAAGTTTAGAAGACAATGTTCCTGCTTGAAATCATTCAGTGTTTAATAATCTGTTCAGAGCTGAAGAAGGTTTAGAATGTACAAGTTTAGAAAATGGAAACTCCAAACACCTGAACCCAACATCAGGTTGAAAACTGTAAAATACAAAAAGGTAAAAAGAGCTCTCATTAATATTAATGACAACGTGCTGCTGCTTCAATAAAGACGTAGTGACTTCAGCTCTTAACCTCTGCCAGCTCCACCAGTGGCTCCATCTATACAAACTCATGTTGTGCAGCCAAACACAAATAAAAACCCACAGAAACTGATTTAAGATTCAACTGAAGATCACAAAGCTGTCAAATATGTCAGGATGAATTTTGGGGAAATGTGAACAAAAGACATCTACAACCATTATTTTAAGAATAGTGGAGTCATAAAATCAAATTATCTTCAGTTTAAACTATTCAGTCAGTATAAACATCATATAGCTTCATAACAATGTCGGAAAAAGAAAATACTGAATATATTTGTTATTGTCTGATAGTTGGAGCAGAGATTATTTGTTTTTTTAATGTATTTGTGTATTTATTAGTATTATTTATTTTATAAAAAATATAAAAAAAGATTTTAGATCATGGATTTTTCTTGTTATATTCAGGTTTTAAATGTGGAGCTCAACATTGCTCTGCCACAGTCAATGGACTAAACCACTGAAGAAGAAAACAGACTTTAGCATTAAGATACTCAGTGTGGATCAGTATAATATCAGCCTTATGTCTGCACTTTACTGTCAGCACAACTTTCACAATATATTAATCTCAGCACAGAAGGAAAAAATGGTGTCTGACCTCAGAGTCTCCAGTCTACAGTGTGGACTCTCCAGAAAACCACACAGCAGCTTCACTCCTGAATCCTGCAGATTGTTGTAACTCAGGTCCAGATCTCTCAGATGGGAGGGGTTGGACTTCAGAGCTGAGACCAGATAATCACAGCTGATCTCTGACAAACTGCAGCCCATCAATCTGAATAAAGAATAAATTATGTAAGTTTCGAAGACAATGTTCCTGCTTGAAGTCATTCAGTGTTTAATGATATTGAGATTTATATGGCAGGAAAAAGACCCCGAGAACAATATAAACATTACCGCTACTGAAAGAAAGAGGAGGCTGGGGTTTACCATCACAGAAACATTATTATATCTCAGCACAGATGAGAGCATCAGCTCTCGGGGTTCGGAGAGCAGTGATAAAAGAACATACATTGAAAGAAGATATTAAAATCCGGAGTTGGTGTGCATATGATTCAGATCTCACACTAAATAAACTCAATGATAGATTCAAAGTTTGGATAAAGAAAGGTATAATATCTCTATGCAGCATTATACAGAAAGATGAAATTATGTGTTTTCAAACATTAAGAGTAAATTTTTCATTGGAAAAACAGGATATCTAAAAATATCTCCAATTAATAAATTACTATAATAAAAAAGAAAAATACCAGAGAAGCCAGTAAACCCTTTATGCAACTTCTCATAAATGCATGTAAGTCAGATATTAAAAGAGGGGTCATCTCTCAACTGTATAAGAGCCTCCACAATCTAAAAGC